GGATTGATGTGCTGGTTAGAATTGGTACTTCTTAGTTTCTTTGGGTTGTCTGACTGATTCCATTGGTAGAAAGTTTGATTAAGCTTTTTAAGCTACTGCCATCCTTTGGATTTTCAGGTGGTCTATTGGGGGAAGTTTTTGTTGTCAGACAGATGCTACCATTGCTTAAACATGTAGCTCGTTATTGCATTGACATTTCATGCATGAATAGCCCTGAGCCAGTCCAGAGCTGGAGTTGTCTAGCTGTAACTGATTGTTTAATGACATTAGATGGTCTAGTTGCCTTCTCGTCACATGAGGTGATTGTTAAGGAGCTGGTTGAAGTATGTCTCTAATTCCCAACTGTATGTTAGTTACTTAAATTTAGTGTCATTATCTACACTTGGATAATATTCTAAGAAGCAATAGTGCATATGCTATTGTTATGCAGGATCGAAGCTGCCTCCATGTTCTGATTCTTATGCAGAAAAATCTGGAAGTATCAGTGCTTCAGGTGCTTTAAAGTCCTATAACTTCTATTTTCTACCATATATATTGAAGTTAGTTCGTTCTTAAGGTCTGCAAGTTGCTGCAGAATTTTGTTTTTAGATATGTGTTATGTCTTTCATGAGAAATACTGGATGACAATCAATAGGAACATCCACAGGAAGATGAGACAATAAGCCAACCACCTGCTGGTTAAGTGATGTTTTTTCCCAAAAGGAAAGCTCTTTCATCTGTTTGTCTATTACTTTGCATTAAAGTGTCGTTTTCAGAGAACTTCTGCACTTCTGTATTAGGATAACCTTCTAAGAAGTTATAGTCTAGGACAGGAAGAGCAAATACAGAAAAAAGCAGAAAATAAATAACAGCTTACCATATTCATATTGTTAGTGGTCAACTTAGAAGATTCTTACTTCTTTTTTTCCCTCAGAAATGAAAAAGAAGTTGGTGTGGGACAGATAGGGTTAGTTTCCTACTTAGGGACTTGGGAATACAAATTTAGATATCACCTAGGGCTTCTTACAAATCACGTTTAAGAAATCTCAAACATAACACTTGACTGCTTTATTATTTCACTCATCTGCCAGGTTGCTGCTACTGCTCTCATAGCAATTTGTCAGCGGATTGGACCAGAGTTGACAGCATTGCATGTTCTGCCACAACTTAAGGAGCTATTTGATGAGTTTGCTTTTTCTCAGGAAACTGCTACAGGGTCTAGTTTCCTTAACAGGAACCTGAAGGTTTCTAAACTGAAAGTTGATGCAGAATTTCAACTTGAATGCCGCATGGATCTTGTGTGGGTGCTTTTGTTATCTCATATCACCTGCTTGGATACATATTATTGCATGAAACTATGTTATCTTATGTGGAAAGGCGTCATTGTTCTTAACTGCTTTTGATTTATTTTGAGTTTGTTGGAATTGACAGGTTAATTCTCTATCCTTCTTTTGCATCTCTTCTTGGGATTGAGAAACTTCGCCAAGGTTGTTCAACATGGTTGCTTCTTGAGCAGTTTCTTCTCCGGTGTTATAATTGGAAGGTAATTGAGCTTCACCTTTTGAGGAACGCTATCTATCAATTCTGTACCATATTTTCTTTGAGAAAGAAAAGAAGAATTTCATTAAAGAGCGAATTATGTTATCCAAAGCTTTTTGGATATCATTTATTTCATTTCAATTTCTTTTGCCAGTATATCCTATTTCTTAATCAATTAACTTTTCTATTTAACTTTTTTCAATAGGTAAGTGTTTTTAAATATCTTTTTTTTTTTTTGGAAAATCTACATTTATTTCTTAAGATATAGGCTAAAGTAGACCCATGTATTTGTTTATTTATGTAGATTGTTTCCTTATTGTTATCGTTTTTGTCTTCTAAATCCCTACACTTTTCCGCCTTCGTTTGTCAACCATTTTGTTTCCTGTTAGGGTGTTACTTTCTTGGCAGCATAATTATCTTGAATTGCTCCACTGATGTGGTGGTTTAGTGGTCGGTGAGGGATAACTATGTTGGTAGCATGTCCTTCCTTTTTCAACCAAAAAATACCCTTCCTTATATTATAATAATAATAGTTAACTAGTTTTAACTTTAATAAATTAATCTTATTTTATAACTTCTAAAAATAAGTTGGAATATTTATAAATTCAAGAATATTGAAAAAATGCTTAAGAAAAAAAATAGAACCTTCGCCTCATTTGTCACCTGATGGGCAGGGTCATAGCATCTAGCTGTGGCTTTGCTGGTTGTTTTTAGGTGGCTAGACTGTTGGCTCCTAGCTGTCCATGAACAGCTTGTGACACCTTGTGGCTTGTTGACAAGGGGGTGAGTGGCGGAAGAGGAGATGGGAGGGGAGGCAAGGAGAGAGGGAGGAAGCAGCTGAGTCTCACTGGATTTGTTTTTGCCTGGAACCAATTCAATCAACATAACCTTTTTCTTTTTTTCTTTTCTGTTGTTTTTATTTCTTGTTTTCAGTTGTCTTTTATTTTTTCTGAGTGTTTCCGTCTTGATATCGACTATAAGCCATATTATCCTTACCAGATCCTTCTGTAAGATTTTCAAAAAGAAGGTAGATTAGGTAAATGATCATTCTAGAATATAAAGTAATAAATCTGAAATTTTAGAGATAATAGCTTCTCTTATTTTCTGAATATAAAAGATGTTCTTGAAGCAACTTTTCTATATGTATAAAGGAATCTTCTCAAAGAAATATTTCTGGTTCAGTGTGTATGCGTGATTATATACCATCCTTGTACTTCGGGAATAAAAAATTTTACCGGAAGCCATTTGTGGAGTGAAGGCTTGCGGATTTGTTGATATAGTGGTCCATTTCACGTGCATCAGCCTTTATATAGTTTCTGCATTTCCATTTTTCTGAACCTGTTATGATTCAGTGGGAATATACAGGAGAATCATCTCGAAGTGGTGGAGAGAATATTGTTCCTAAGAGACTTGTATTAAGCAAGGGTTTAGTATCTGAGTACAGTCCTGCTAAGCTGTTGCTTAATGGGGTTGGGTGGTCCATTCCACAATCACAGGGAGCTAGAGGTTCCAAAAACTTGATGCCTCAAAGGCGCTTTCCTGATCTTCAACAGAGTCGAGTTGAGAGAACTGAAGCAACTTCAAACCTTATGAATCGTGAACCCTGGTTTTGGTTTCCTAGTCCAGTTGCTAGCTGGGATGGAGCTGATTTCCCAGGGCGTATAGGGGCTTTGAAAGAAGAAATTCCATGGAAAATTAGAGCATCCATCATATCTTCTGTCCGTGCTCATCATGGAGTGCTCAGATCTTTAGCAGTTTGCCAGGATGAGTATGCAGTTTTTACTGCAGGTAGTGGTCCAGGATCCAAGGGAAGTGTTCAGAAGTGGGAATTGATGAAAATAAGCTGTGTGTCTGGATATTATGGTCATGAAGAGGTGTGTTTTTCTGTTATCATCTTGAAAATAAGTTGAAGTTTGCTATAGTAGTCCTAGAAGTTACATGGATACATGCTTGCATACACATGCAGGGCATGTACAGTTTTCGAAAAGTTGGTACTGATAGTGGTTATGCGATGCCCCTAATTGTTTTCTGTATATTTTTAGGTTGTCAACGACATAAGTCTCCTGTCTTCCAGTGGAAGAATAGCATCTTGTGATGGAACTATACATGTTTGGAATAGCCGAACCGGGAAAGTTATCTCAGTATTTGCTGAACCTTCTGTGGATTCTGTGCATCTTGTCTCATCTGTATCTAAAATTAATGCTGATCAGAGCAATATACTCAACTCCAATACCTTGTCGGGTGGCATATTGACCAGTGCCTTTGATGGGAGCTTGTACACTTGTATGCATTATTTAGATTTTCTTAGCATGCTTGTAGTTGGAACTGGGAATGGTTCTCTCAGGTGAGTGCTTACTCTTAGATGGAGAGTCATATCAAGCTGACATAAAATGAAGAGCATTACATTAATGCTCTCTGCTTTTGTGCTTTGTTATATGACAGATTCATTGATGTTGCCCAAGGTCGAAAACTTCATTTTTGGAGGGGTGAATGTAATGAATCTGCTTTTCCTTCTCTTGTCTCTTCCTTGTGCTCGTGTGGGTCTGACAATATGCAAAAAGACAGGACTTCAACTTCACCATCTTGGGTTGCAAGTGGATTAAGTTCTGGCCACTGTAAGTTGTTTGATGTGAGGAGTGGAAATGTTGTTTCCTCTTGGAGAGCTCATGATGGATATGTGACAAAGGTATATACATACACTGTTGAAGAAAACTACTTTAACTTGGAGTGGAGTTTCATTTATCTTTCATGCATGCAGTTAGCTGCACTAGAGGACCATTTGCTTGTTTCGAGCTCTCTCGATCGGACTTTGCGAATTTGGGACTTGAGGAGGTGAGGGAAACTTTTCCATGGAAGATTGAATGCATTTTGGGGTTTTCAGTTCTAACACTCGGTGTCATAGACAGTAAGTGCATTATTGAACTCCTTCCAATCTGATTGCTTCAATTTCATGACTTGAAGGAATGGGCCACCACAACCCACTGTTTTCAAAGGTCACGTAGACGGTGTCTCTGGTTTTTCTTTGTGGAGGCAGGATGTTATTTCAATTTCTGGAAAGAAGATTGGACTATTTTCATTATCCAAATCCACTGATGAGGTATGTTGTAGTAAATGAATATGCCAAAAGTTTGTTAGAAACAATTTTATTTTTTGAAGGTGCTTAGGTGTAAGCTGTTTTCTTCTAACAAGTTTAGTAAGTAATTAAGGAGAAGTACAAGGCTATCTTGTACGAATTAAAAATCTGGACACTTCATATCCAGGTCTCATTCTCTCTTAACGTCCAAGACGTTGATCTCGCACTTGCCTCTTTTAAATTGTTTGAAGCAGCTGAATTTAACCTTCACAAAAAAGAGGGAAACAGTTTCTCTTTTCTGTTAGGTCTTTCCAAGTTGATTATGGAATTTTACGGCTCAAACTGATTTTGTGTGTTTGAGTCTTTTTTCGTTGTTGCAAGTAGCTAATTGTTTGTAATTTGGTTCTTGATCTCTTCAGCACCTTTGCTAAACTTTGAACAGAGAATTATGTTATTTTAGTCTGATCTAACTGTCCTTTTTGGAGATTAAATGTTCATAACCTACTTCCGCGTAATATTTTCAATTTCAATGGGACTCCTTGCTTCTAAGAGCTGGTCACAGCCCAGTTGTCATCCACCGTATGGGGAGCAATTCTAGATAATTCAGTAAATTTTTCTTCATATGATCTCCTCCTATTTCTTACCAGAGAACCCCGTAAGTCATATTTTAGAATGTTGCCCTTCTATACAGTGTATCTTCAAACTTTAAGCTAGTTGCCGTGTCTCCATTTATGTCGCCTGTATAGGTGAGGAGCGCGTAATTTACATGGTTTTTTTTTTCCCGCTATTTTTTCATTTGTTATATTTCAGGTTCTTTGTTATGTAATTATGCTAATATCATGATGTAGGATGGACAACATCGAGTTATACCTCAGAAACTTTACATGGCAGGAAATGGAACGAGAAACATGTCAGCACTGTCAAGTATAAGTATTTTACCATTCTCCCGGTTGTTTCTTGTTGGAACAGAAGATGGCTATCTAAGAATCTGCTGTTAAATTTGGTCGGTTTCGTTGTTGTTGTTGTTGTTGTTCTTTTTTAATGCTCGGGTAGGTTTCCTCAGTTTTATTTTTAAAAGATCAATGTTGGGGATTCCAACAACTTCATTTCCACTATGTAAAGTAGGGATTTTCTTCTTCTTCTTCTTCTTCTTCCAGTAATTGATTGACATTGAGAGTGAATTTCTTTCTTAGCCTTAATATTAGAGACTGCTTGTTGAGACCATTACTCTCTCTCTCTTTCTCTATCTCTCTCTCTCTCTCTCTCTATATATATATATATATATTTCAATTGACAGAGTATTTCTCTATAAAGTTTGGGTCATATGAAAAAAATTACAAGCTTGGATTTCTAAAATATTAGCTTTTAAAGTCTTTTAATTTATTTAGTATACAAAAAAAATTAGCCTTCAAAATAAAAAAAATCTTAACTATCAATTGTTTTTTTTTTTAACCTTCAAAACAATAATTTTATATGTATATATATCACCAAAATTTTTTACTGCATGAATATTTTGTTGGTAGATAAAAGAAAAAAAAAATCTCCTAAGACTTTATTTGAATAAATTTTAATAATAATTAATTAATATATAATAATAACAATAATTAAATGATAATAATATAAAATAAGAATGATAAATTTTTTTTATATTTAAATAATTATATATCGATATATGTTAATAATATATTTTTATTTAAATGATAAGATGATACGGTTATATTTTAAGTTAAATTATTAATTTATTTTTTTTTATTTATGTAATAGTAAATATTATATAAATAAATATATAATAAAAAAATTAAATTATTTATCAGTAATAATTATATTTGTATTTAAATAAATAATTATTATATTTAATAAAATAAATAATAAATAATAAATATAAATATATTATACAAAAATATAAAAAAAAAATTTATTAATCAATTTAGTAATTTTAAAATTTATTATTAAAAATTAAAATAAATATAATTGTAAATGTTAATAATGCTCCTGTTTCATTTCATCTTCGCTCTCTCGATTGTCTCCTCGCACGCATAACTGTCGTCCTCGGCACAGTGCCATATCAGACGACCTTGTCATCACCACGTTTCTGCAAGCCACCGCCGCTCTTCCACATCCCGGTATGACTCTCTCTCTCTCTCTCTCTCTCTCACTGTGTCGCGCGCAAAAGCTCTTAATACGGCCGTCGTTCCCTCTTGCAATATCGTGTCTCTCCCATCTCTGTCAAATGAGTTAACTTCTACTATATTTGTAATTTTCATTTCTCTTTTTCTCTCGTTGTATATATACAGAAACTCAAGTTCTCTTAAATTTTCGTTGTCTGTAGTTTAGCAGAATAGGATTTGATTTGTTTGAGTTATTGGATGAAATTGGATTTTGTTTATCTAATACAGATTTTAATTTTTTAGGAACTGTTAGTCTCAAACAGTTTTGCTTTAGCAAGGTCCTCCAAGTCAAAAAGGACGGGTTCAATGGATTGCCGTCTTATTGACCTTGTGCTAGAGTAGGCGCACAACAGTGATAAGATCAGTCACCTTCACTGAGCAAACATGAACTGACATAGTTTTATCTTTCAACTGGAACGATCTTAGGGATTCTAATCTATTAAGTTAGGGCGGGGGGCACACATTGTTAAAGCTGCAGCTTGGTCACTAAATCAAAAAGTGTCGTTTATAGTGTGTGGTCACGAAATAAAAAAATATATTAGTAGCTGCAGATTTCATGGAGTAACGAAATTGTTAATTCGATGATTGTTCGTAGTGTGTGGGCCTCGAGATTTAAGGTTTGGTTTTGAGAATCCTTCTTTGGAGGTCTTCTGGTTATGTGGGATATTAGGGTAGCATCTTTTGTTGATTCTATCGAGATTTCTTTTCTCTTTCTATGCTTTTGGCTGGCAGACGAAAGGATTCTTGGTGCTTCTTAAGTTTATATGGCCTCACAGACCTTAGACTTCGTTCCTTCATATGTAAAGAGCAACCTTATATGTCAGTTTTCCCATGCATGTCTGTAATATTCAATTTCAATGTGCGTTTTATAGTAAAGATAAACAGAACTGCAGGTTGGACGATTGCAGCTCCTTTACAGTGAAATCTTTCTATTTGCACATTGCTTAATTTGGCTTTCTACTTTATGATTTCCCTAGGAAATTTTCGTGGAAGTTAAATCTACCTCCTTGAATTCCTCTCTTCAGTTTGGAGGCAGTGAAAGACAGAATTCTAACTATTGACAATTTTCAAAAGAGGGAAAGATTCTAGCCAATGGGTCTTTTTCTGCACAAGAGGAAATTGAGACATAGGATCATCGGTTTTTGCTGTTTGTTCTCTCTCCATTGTCGATGTGCTGCCGTTGAGTTCCTCAGATTGAATTGAGTGATAGCAGGCTCTGTGGTAAAGAGATCTGTTTGGCAGGGGAGCTGGAGTGATAAAAGCAGGAGAAAACTCATATCTCTTATTCCTTGACTATGATGCAGGCCATCATATAAGGACCTTTAAAAACCTTAGTTTTCCCTTTTAATAGATTTGGAAGATTTATAGTTCCAGATCTTGGGCTTTCTATTTAAAGTTATCCTCTTTCCTTTGATGAGGACATTGGGACCTTATTGACATTATGATTGACTTGTAAAGCTTTTGTACTTATGTGCACCTACTTGCTATCTTGCTAATTTACTTCTTTGATGCGGAACCCCAAATCAACAAACGTGATCAAGAATTCACACAATTTCATTGAAAACATCAAAGAAATTTGATCTTATAAAAACCCTCCCTTTATCAACAATGATAGAAATTAGAATCAATGGGAAACGGAAGATTAAAAGAAGAAGAAAGGAACGCCATAAAAAATTATCTTGATAAGTAGATCCGCTCCTTATTCAATAAGAAGGATGAAAACATCTCTTTTGAATAAGATTTATAATATTATTGATTTCAATATTGAATTGTTACAATTATAAATTGAATGCTTATTTACAGATAAGATCATGGGCAATACGAAGAAATAGATCTTTTAAATTAATTGTAGAAATTAAATCTTGTTTTAATTGAAAAATTAATAAAAATTAAGAAGATTTTGACTAATTTGATTAGATAGGATCTTTCCTTTTGGAAACTTTTTTTAATGGAAAAGATTTTAATTGATTGTAGAAAATTAGGGAGAAAATAAATGTAAGTTTAGGTCTGACTATAATATTTCCTTCTCAACCGAGATTTGGTTCTGCAAAAATCTTCCCTTTTCTTATTTGACTATTTCTTCTATTTGGATTGAGATGTAAGTACTTTTATATCATTGGATATTCTCTTTATGGTCCATGTCCATGTTCACATAATTCATTTTCTTCTTCTGAAAAAATTGTCCTATGCTGGTGATTGCGAATATAGCTCTTGAAGGTCTTGCTCATTTTCATTTACTTTGTTACACTCTTCTTCACTTTTCGCAAAAGCGGGTGATGGCTTATGTCAATTTTTTAATTTTTGAATGAAAAGGTTCATCTTTTTTGGGTTACTGGGTAAATGCTTGTGTGCTATTTTGTATTTGAGTCAGCTTGATTGTTTTGATTTTGTGGGGTACCGGGTGAGTTGCTTGCTTGCTATTTTGTGTTTGGGTCAGCCTGATTGTGAATTCATTTGCTTGATTGATTTGAGCAGAGATGCCATGAACTTGCCTTTGTTATTAATAAGGGAAGATCACAAGACTTCAAGCTCAAGTCTTGCGTACTCATGTTTCACGGTTTTGAAGGTGTAACTCTGCAATCCACTGGAAGCACCTTCCAAGTTTTGCATCAATATCTTTGGTGCATTTTCTTATGTTTGTTTCCACCACTAGAGTAGCTAGAGATTTTAAAAACCTTGGGCAGCAAATTTTTGCTGCCATTTGTGGAAAAAACTTCAAAATTTGAAGTAAACAGAGGATGAGTTTGCAAAGTCAACATACACATGGGCTGGTACTCAACTGTAATTGATGGTACTGTCTCAGTCTAAGAATAAGGGCTTTAACACTTTTGCTTGTTTTCAAGAGATGTTAGGAGGGATGTGATTATGTTCTCTGTTAATCAGTTTTGAAACAAATTGCACGAGCATGTTTTTTAATTTTTTCCTATTGGCTTCACTAGAAGAAATCTGAATGCCAAGTTGACTTAGTAATTGGGGCCATGATTTATTCTTAAAGCCCTAGACTGTCTTGTTTAAAGTTTAAGCAGACAGAGGTACATGATGAAAAAAATAAGCCTAGTGGGTGTTATAGTATTATTAAGTCACTCAACTTTATCTCCTCTGCAGAAGATGGCCCATAAAGAGTCAGAGTTTGACCCAGTTTCTTCGCTCTGTTAAATGAGCTCAAAATTGATGCACATCCGATGCAAGAGAACAATCCTGGTGATGGTATTGGGAGTGTCCCAATCACCTGTTCAGTGAGGTTGTTGATGATCTCACCCTTCATTTCCAGATCATCCATCTTTCCAGACAGGTCCTTGAAAATTTTTCCCAAATTGTTTTGCATATGGCTCCATTTATAACAGAACTGTTTCCTCACAATTGATGAAATGATAGTATACTACTTTACTTTCTTTTTGTTTTTTTATCATGGCGTGCTCATTAAACATATGAGCTAATGGAAGGTAAATTTCCCTTCCATTCACCTTGCAAAAACAGTTGAGACTGAGATTTAATGACATGTCCTTGTGCCCATAAATGATTTTACTAGTTAAGTTTACTACATACGGTTAGTATTTCACATTAATGCTCTGTAGTTTTTATTCTCTGTTTCTTTTTGCATTTTTTTAAATCAAGTTGTAATGTTCCACGTATAGATTTATGTTTGGATTGGTTGCAACTCTACCAAATTTGGGAACCTGTATGCAGCTGCACCTACCCGACCTGTAAGCTAATTCTCTTAAAATTCCTCCTGTTTTAGGTTATTGACTTTTTGTAATTATCATTCTTGTTATGATCCTTGGTTCATACCCTTTTTTTTTTTTTGACAATAAGAACATGTCTATTTGTCTTTGATTGTGCATAGAACAACACCGTGAGTGTTACTTCAGTACTTGGAGGAGCATCTGATAATACAGGTTTTGGGATTGCTCGACGACTAGGTAAAATTCATGAATTTCAAACATGTAGCTGATCTTTATTGTTTTCAACATTTATGTGGCTGGTTTACTGCTTCTATTACAGTGTTAAAGACTGGTCTCAACATAATTATGGCTTGCAATATACCAAAGAACAGTCCCATGCTTGAGGTTTTTCTCTTTTTATGACATCTTCTTATCATGGTTTTTGCTGTATGTTAACCTTTGCTTTTCTATACATGTCTAAAACTTTTTTGGTCCTCAGGCAACAGCCGAGAAAGTGTTGGTTCAGAAATTAATCAGTTTGGGACTCACAAGGCCAAGATCCTGAAGGATCTCCATTGTGATAGATGGTTCAGCTGATACTGCCACCTTTAACATATACTCTTCTCTATTGATTTTCGTGCCTTGGCTAGCAATTTTTACTTTCATTTTAAGCACAACGTAGACTAGCCTCTGAGTCCTGGAGAGGTGGAAATATGGAGCATAGCTAGACTTCTTTTATGATTGGGTTTGTGGTAGTTTATTTTCTTACTAAAGCTTTGGCTGTAAGAGCTAGGTCTTGTGTATCTCGATTCTGTTATGGTCAGGAAGATTGTTAATTGAGAAATTAAATTCAAAGTTTTACTTGTTCAAGTTATATTTATATATATATACATGTAGTTTTTTTTTCCTTTTCTGTACTTCGCTGGGGAATGATATTGCTTTTTTGCAATTACCTATCTGGAAGCACAAGATGAAAATTTATGCTTGAGCCGAAGCGATCCCGGAGTTAGCCTTGAATTTTCTGTAAATACTTATAAAGCAATGCATGTTTTAGTGAAGAGTGCAGTTTATTAGGAGCATGTCTCATGAAATCCATTTTTTGCCCTCAAATAGCACCTCTAACCTTGGACGGTCTCATGCCATGACATTCTGGCTTTGAGTAAATGAAGAGGCCGAGAATTCCTGGCCTTCATGTGGTAATACTCTCTATTTCGTTTTTATTTTTGCTAATAAAAAAGGAGAAATCCTTTTGGCCCCAATATTACGTGAGACCGTTGATTACATATGATGTCACAGATGATGGTCTAAGATGAGATAATGCTGGAATTGTTAAACCTTAAAATTTCATTTTGGAATATTCTTTAAGTTTTCCTATTCAACAAGATTGCATGCTTTGATAAAGGTACATGAATATGCTTAACTTGTAGTTGTGTTCAATTGAAACATTATTGTTTACATCAGCAAGTACATAATAGATTCTGTTTTTTTAAGAATAAATTCTTATTGGTTGCTACCATCTTTGGATATTGAGTACGAGGATTTGATCTTTGAGAACTTTTTTAAGTTTGGAATAATAGCTTTCTTTACTTCCCTATTTATAGAACATTAAATCTGTTTACTCTTAGCTTTCTTTTCTTCCCTATTTCTTTAAGAGGTTCCCTTTTAACTTTCTCCGATGGCCAGGACTGCGTCTGACAACCAAAGTGGTATGGAGCATGCACTCTCTCTCTCTCTCTCTCTCTCTCTCTCTCTTTATTTGCATATTTGTCAAACGGTCAACCGTACTAGTCTTCATCTCTATATTCCATTATTGAATTGATAAGAATACCATTGTTAACTGTATCATAATAAATTTTATTTTGGCATATACTGTACTGTCCCACCAAACATTGGCCCGATACATAATGTATCATTCTAATAGTGATATGATATTGATAAATCTCATAGCAAGCTAAGTACTGATCTGTTCCAATCAATACCAGATTTACTTGCCAAATATAACAGTGCCAACTAGTATCAAACATATTGTTATTTTATCTGGCCTTTTAGATTTTACTTAAAAGTTAATGTTAAGTTTAACTTTCATGTTGTATGGCTCGACGGAAATGTACAAGTTAAATGTGTTTATATTTATTTTGGTATGATATTATGTTGTATTGTGTGCATGAGCTTTACTGACTTAGCATCTTTGTAACTTAAATAATTAGATATGATAGAAACAATTTTATGTTTAATATTAAATTATTAAGTTAAATAGTTTATTGTGTTTCTAATAATCTAAGATTATATTACTATCAGTGTAATTATTATTATTTTGTAAATACATAGATACATATAATATACTAGTAAATGACAAGGTAACAGTAAAGTCAAAATGAGAAATTGAAATTTACAATTGATAGCATGTATCGTTCCAAAACCAAAACTGAGAAGCTAATGGTATTTACTATTTAGCAGTGATGGTATTAATGTCCATGATCACCTGCAATTAGTAATTAGTAATTAATTTTAATAAAAAATTGCTAGAGCTTCTCTACAGCCAGCATCATTCAAATTCAGACTCTCTGCTATGGAGAGAGCTGGAATTACCAACTGGACTAACATTCCATTGGTTTGAAACTTGTTCTTGCAGGACTAACAACATCTGTGTCGGATACACCACCAGCACATTACATGATCAAAATCAAGTCATTCTCATTGTTGGCTAAGAATGCATTAGAGAAATATGAATCTGGGAGCTTCGAAGCTGCAGGCTACAAATGGTACAATTTCTTCCTCATGGTTTCTCACTTTCATTTCCATTGCCATGCTATTTCCGTAGGTGTTGTAATTGATGTTTAGCTACATTTTTATTGGCTCAAAGATTCCATGTGCCTCTGAAGTACTGTGTCCGAGTCCCTCCTAGAGAATGAAACCTGATCTTGATCGCAAATAGAGAATAAATTGTCAATATTTTGTTTATTTGATTCGATGGTTCTGAACTTTGAGAGATATTGTGCCTTGAAGCTCTAGAAGTATTAGCGTGTTTTCTTTGCACTCACAGGAAATTGGTTCTCTATCCAAATGGAAATAAGAGCAAGAATGTCAGAGAACATATTTCTGCCTACTTAGCAATTGCAGACACAAGTTCACTTGGTCCTGTTTGGGAGGTCTATGCTATTTTCCGGCTATTTTTGCTTGATCAAAACAAAGACAATTTCTTGATCGTACAAGGTATTCTGCTGTATGTAGCAAATAATCTATTAGTTCACTTCAATTTCGTTTTTATCCAATCAATCTTTGGCATTGTTTCACATTGTTTTTTAGTATGTAACTAGATGAAAATTGTTGAATAAGTTTTAGTCTGCAACATGGAAGTCTTGTTCAGCAGACTAATCATTTGGTTATATTGCGATACTCAGATGCTGCAGGAAAGGAAAGACGGTTTCATGGGTTAAAGCTGGAGTGGGGAATTGATGCATTCATTCCATTGAGAACATTTAATGATGCTTCTAATGGATACCTTGTGGATGACACGGCTGTGTTTGGAGCAGAGGTGTTTGTCCGTAAAGAAAGGAGCACTGGCGCAGGAGAATGCTTGTCAATGATAAAGGATACTGTTACTTCTAAGTATGTCTGGAGGATCGAGAACTTCTCCAAGTTAGATCTAGAATGCTACAGCTCAAATGTGTTCTTTGCTGGAGATCAGAAATGGTATCTGCCATGTGGTTTTTGCATTTAGTTTAGTAATGAAATTGAGATCTCTTCTTTTCACCCCTGCAAACCTTTTTTTTTTCCCCCCCTCTCGTTGTCTTCTCTAGAAGGTGGTTTAACAAGGATTGGAGTTTGTTGTTGCCTATACCAATTTGTTCTCCATCCTTTGGCCACCTGCAAAAGATTTTCTTTAAAGAGATAGTAACTATAAAATATAGTTGATAGAGAAATAAAACAAACTGAACCTTAGGCAAATACTATTTTGTGCTTAATGCAGGAAGATACAGCTATATCCGAAGGGGAAGCGGCATGGAACGGGTACCCATATTTCTCTCTATCTGGCTTTAGCAGATTCAGCAACCCTCCCTGCTGCTACTAAAATATATGCAGAATTCACCATACGTGTCCTGGATCAGGTGCATGCTAGGCACATTTCTGGGAAAGGTAATATGCAGAGTCTGTCCTCTCCCAACCAAGGATTACCATTCTACTAATTCCAGTTCTCAAAATTTTCAATCTTCTTAATATGAAATTCTTTTTGTTCGTCTTTTGCAGCTAGTAACTGGTTCGGTGCTTCGAGCCCGGAAACCGGTTGGGCAAAGTATATTTCACTTGGTTATCTGAATCAGCAGAGCAACGGCTGTGTGGTGAAGGATGTTTGCCTTGTGGAAGCAGAAGTAACTGCGCTTGGAGTTACTAATGCACTGTAAATTGAAAACATATATGCTTATATCCCTATTTACAGAACATAAATAGTAAAAGCTAGTTACCCCATTTCTTTAAATAACTTGAATAAAAATAACTCGTAGATGGAGTCAATGGGACATAATGCTGTATGCACGTCATTTACAGGATTTGTTAGCTGTGCAAACAGCAGCATCAGAGCCCATGTGTGTATATATATGTGTATGTATCTGTATATGTGTATGTAATAAAAATAATATAAATAATATTAGTGCTCCATTTACAGACTGAACACGTCACGCTTTACCGTTTTTTTATTCTGTGCGAGCGCGAGTTTTTACAGGCCAAACCGTTTCCCGGTTGACGCGTCGTCAACTTTTGATTCCCCCATCTCACCAACCCGCCACCGACTGCCACCAACATCACACGCTGTCTTCACCAACGGCTCAGATCCATTTCAGACCTCCGTTCCCGCCGTCAGATCTAAATCCCAACAACTAATGAATCTGGCCTAATTTGCCGTCTATGGGCTGCACCTCCCTCTGCATTTTGCCTATAAATATCCTTCTCTTCGCCTTCCAACTCGCAACCTGCTCTTCCAGGGTCTTCCGTATCTTTCTCTCTCTCTCTCTCTTGTCCCCTCGAGTATCGCTACTCTCAGGTACCAATTTCTTCTTCACCTCCCTTTATCTGCATTCGCTTGCCTCTTCTCTCTGCTTTCGTTTTCTCTCTGCTTTGTGTAATGTCCTTTTAGATCTCTGTTGTCTTTTACTTCGTCGTTGTTTTGTTTTTCTTTTGCGCGTTCTCGTTAGTCGGCTGCTAGATTTACGGTTTTTGCGGTTATTATATGCTGAGTTTTTGGATTTCTATATCGGTATTCTGTCGGATCTCTATTTTAAAGTCTGCGGTGCGGCATGTTTCTCTGTTATTTTGCAGCATTTTACTATACTGTTTTCTTCGAGTTTGCAGATCTTGTTGTATTTTCACGACTGTGTAAAAGTCTTTTGATGTTTACTTTGTCACCTTAATTGGTGTATTAAGCACCGATAAAAAGTAGATCAGGAGATTGGAAAGTGTGCTTTTAATCAAGATCAATCTACCACCTTTTGATAGAAATTTTTTCTTCCAGGTAGATAATCTGTTATTGAACAAATCGATCACAGGTTCCTACTAATTACTGTCATTGTACTAGTTTGTGATTCTGTTGCTTGTTCGCCATCGAACAGACAGATCTTCGACGTTAATCTGGTGGATTTGTCAAAATCAATTTGATCTTGTCTCGTGGTTATTTATTAGAGATCCGTTTTTGTTTGGCCATTTTCTATTTTGCTGATTCCTCTTCGTATGTGTTGTGCAGTCCTGAAGAAATGGAGACCTTCCTATTTACCTCCGAGTCAGTGAACGAGGGGCACCCCGACAAGCTTTGTGACCAGATCTCCGATGCTGTGCTCGATGCCTGCCTCGCCCAGGACCCCGACAGCAAGGTTGCCTGTGAAACTTGCACCAAGACCAACATGGTCATGGTGTTTGGTGAGATCACCACCAAGGCCAATGTGGATTACGAGAAGATTGTGCGCGACACGTGCCGTGCAATTGGATTCACGTCAGACGATGTGGGTCTTGATGCCGACAAATGCAATGTGCTTGTCAACATCGAGCAGCAGAGCCCCGACATTGCTCAGGGTGTCCATGGCCATCTCACTAAGCGCCCTGAGGAGATTGGTGCTGGTGACCAGGGTCACATGTTTGGCTATGCCACTGATGAGACACCTGAACTTATGCCTTTGACCCATGTTCTTGCCACCAAGCTTGGTGCCCGCCTCACTGAAGTGCGCAAGAACGGCACCTGCGCATGGCTGAGGCCCGATGGCAAGACCCAAGTTACCGTTGAGTACTACAACGAAAACGGTGCAATGGTCCCTGTCCGTGTCCACACTGTGCTCATCTCCACACAGCACGATGAAACTGTGACAAACGACGAGATCGCAGCTGATCTTAAAGAGCATGTCATTAAGCCCGTTATTCCCGAGAAGTACCTGGACGAGAAGACCATCTTCCACTTGAATCCATCTGGTCGTTTTGTCATTGGTGGTCCCCATGGTGATGCTGGTCTGACTGGCCGCAAGATCATCATCGACACATACGGTGGATGGGGTGCTCACGGGGGAGGTGCCTTCTCCGGGAAGGACCCCACTAAGGTGGATAGGAGCGGTGCGTACATTGTAAGGCAAGCTGCAAAGAGCATTGTGGCGAGTGGGCTTGCAAGGAGGTGCATTGTGCAGGTGTCTTACGCCATTGGTGTTCCCGAACCATTGTCTGTGTTTGTTGATACATACGGGACTGGAAAGATCCCGGACAAAGAGATCCTGAAGATTGTGAAGGAGAACTTCGATTTCCGCCCCGGGATGATTGCCATAAACCTCGATCTGAAGAGGGGTGGGAATGGCAGGTTCTTGAAGACAGCAGCGTATGGACATTTTGGCAGGGATGACCCTGACTTCACATGGGAGGTGGTGAAACCCCTCAAATCGAACAAGGAGCAGGCTTAAATTCACAGATGGGATCTTTTACATTTTGACATCTGTTGTGGGACGCGATCCTACTACTCCTACCTTTAAAAGGATGTTTTCGATGTTGTATTGTTTGATGTTTCATTGTATTTGGAAGAAAAAAAAAATCTGGGGCGATAGTAGGTTTGTTTGATTTTTTTTTTGAAATATGCCGAGTGATGAAAATTGAAGGTGATCAAAATATTAATAAGAATCTAATCAGAAATACGCATTCATTAAGTTCTGTATGCTGTTACATTTTAATTATAAGAATATGCCATTTGATGTGGTCATTCTTTTATGATATATGCAATTATATACAGTGTTGTCGGAGGTTAAACGGAGGAAGTGGGAGTTTTTTTTTCGTTAACGCAGGCCCAGAAATCCAGTCTCGAGTTTGGAGGCCGAAAATGGTGTTACATACATGTATCTTCTTTTCCATTTTCCAGTAATTACTTCAGAGAATACCAGCTGTTTATCCTTGTGTAAGTATGGCGGCTGCTAGATATGGGCTCTCAATTTGTGCAGCCCAGTCCATGAGAATCAAAGTACGTTTGTTAAAAGGGGAAAATACTTGATTTTGCTGTGAATTGAAATAATTCATCGTCATCAATCTCAATCTCAATCTCTGAGTTGCTCGACCCCGCTGTTCTCTTTCAGTTGCAGACTCACATTAATTGGCATGGAAGCTTTTAGGGTGCAAAGCCTTGCAAAAGCCGGCAACCTTCCTCCTCAGTACATCCAGCCTCCAGATACTCGACCCCACCGCAAACACCCTCGGCAAACTAATGACAAACAGATACCCACCGTCGATCTCTGCGGTTTTGACCCCGCCCTCAACGTGGTCTCCACCATCGATGCCATAGGCCGTGCCTGCAGGGAATGGGGTGTTTTTCATGTCGTCGACCATGGCGTCCCAGCTCAATTACTCCGCCAGATCATATCCGTTGGCCACTCCTTCTTCAACGATTCCTCGGTCGAAGAAAAGCTCGTGTACGCCTGCGACCCAAACTCCGCTGCCTCTGAAGGCTACGGCAGCCGGATGCTCCTGGGTTCCCAGAAAGACACCGTCTTGGACTGGAGGGACTACTTCGATCACCATACTCTCCCCCTTTCTCGCCGCAACCCCTCTCGATGGCCTCATTTCCCTCCCAATTATAGGTCCCTCCCCCCACCACCAATCCCCCATCGATTGTCTCTAATTTTATCGTCTGTTGTTGTGTTTTCTTTGCGTATGATGAGTTTGAATTGGCAGGCAAGTTGTGGCAGACTACGCAGACAACATGAAGGTCGTGGCCCACAAGTTGCTGGCCCTCATCTCTGAGAGTTTAGGGCTGCCGTCTTCGTGCATTGAGGAAGTTGTCGGGGAATTCTACCAGAACATCACTATTAGCTTCTACCCTCCCTGTCCTCAGCCAGACCTCACTCTTGGCCTCCAAGCCCATTCCGACATGGGGGCCATTACTTTGTTGATTCAAGATGATGTTAGTGGTCTTGAGGTATTCAAGGATGGAGAGTGGGTCATCGTAAATCCTTTGCCTGACGCCATCCTTGTCATTTTGGCCGACCAAACCGAGGTACCAGCGATTCCTCTACTTCTTCTTCTTCTTCTTCTTAATAAATCTTGACGTAATAAAAATGGTCCTGAGTTACTTGTTCAGGTAATAAGCAACGGAATTTACAAAAGCGCAGTGCATAGGGCAGTGACAAACGACAACAGAGCGCGACTCTCAGTTGCCACATTTCATGACCCGGCCAAGGCAGTCAAAGTATCGCCTGCTTCCCAACTCGTCACTCAATCTTCTCTTGCTCGCTACCGTCCAGTAGTTTATGGGGACTACGTCTCCTCATGGTATTCAAAGGGCCCGGAAGGTAGAAGGAATCTAGACGCTCTCCTGCTTAACTAGATTTTATTTCAACATTTATGCCACGGTTTGCATGTGCTGGAGAAAACTTCAAATATATGTTCTGTTACATTCTTAAATAAATATCGTAATATAAATAATTTACAAAAATGCAGCAGCATTTTTACATCTCTTGAATATGTACAATAAAAGTTTTATCATTACAACACCTAAAATAATTTAACAATAACCTCAAGTCTTGATACCTTGAGAGTCTAGCATCAAAATCTCCCTCTCGTATCGCTCGCTATTCATCAACAGTATCCTCCCTATTTGAAAGAGTGATAGGATGAATTCCTTGAATTGATCCTTCTGTTTTGGTAATATCTCTTGTTTTTTGCTGCCTGGGAAGAGAGGTTCGAAACGTTGAGTACCCACTTCTTCTTTATCTACTTCCTTGTGCTAGTGCCTATTGGTGTTCATTTGGGATGTTTGGTGCATCAGTCAGTCTCTGGTTCCTCCAATCTTGTGAGTGACACATTTGTTTATCCCAACTTGTAATCACAACCATCATGTACAGAATGGAAACATTTTCAAGGATATATGTTAGATTTACATGTCTCACAGGACCCCAGTCTGTTTCTTTAGCTTGGGACACCTGTGCAGCCCCACCCTTTCTTAGCTCTATCATTGACAACATAAACTTCGACAGCTCCTCTGCAAATCTTTCCTTACAACTGAAATCCAAGTTGATCTGGGAGAATCGTGGATGAATTGTGGGCATGGGCTAGATTGTGTAAGAAGAAAAAATATTTAATGCTGATTCTATTATCTCTAATGTAGGTTGTGTTGAAAGAGAGAAATTCCAGAGCTTTTGAGGAGATAGAAAATGATTATCATAGTATCAAGAATAGATGGTTTTATCTTCTTGGTTCCTTATTTTTGGGACATGATATACAGGATCTAGAGGATTTGGAGATGGTTTTAGATCATTTGATTGAGCTGTAATTGTTGTATCTTGGGCAGTCCTCCCTTGGTACCTCTGGAATGAAGTATCTTTTTTATTTTAAATAAGAGTAGGGAAAAATTGTCCAGGGATTGTTCCATCTTCTTGTCCTTGTCCCACTATCTTTCTTAGACTAGTTTTTGTTTTGCCTTCATTATGGCATCTGAACTGCTTCCAACAATGTCCACACCTCCATCCTTATCAGCATCATTTACACCGTCCCCTACTGGACCAGTCAGATTCAATATCCCATTCCGGATCAATAGCAAATACCTTAGAATGCAGGCATTTCAAACTCCACCAAGTGCAGGCCTTCCAAACTCCTCCAATTGCAGGCTTCCAGCCTATCATAAGAAGATTAGGATCACGGTTTTCTCTCTAAAAACTCATACCTTCAGAGTTCAGTTTTTGCAGTTTCATGTGTTAGCAAGAGGGTTTCGCTTTGCAGATAGCATTACTGAGCTGTAAATACTTTTGTTTATGGGTTGCACCTCATTGGTGCTTCTACATTAATATATTTTCATTCTTTTTCTTTCAAAAAAGAAAAGAAAAGAAAGAGGGTTTCACTTTGCAGGAAACTGAGACAGACAATAAGAGTTAGCAGGGGAAAGAGAGGGAAAAGAGAGCGAACTTGGGCACCATCCGTGATAAGAACTTTTATGTAGTTGTCCAAAACAAGGATATTTAGGGTCGAGTCAAAGCAATAATTATGTAATATAATCATTCATATAAATGGTAGTGGTATTGAATTATTCAGATACATAATTCACCTTCTCTGGAAGATCACTCTTCCAATGAAGTATGCAAAAAGTGAAGCAAAAGCAATGGGGGAAAATGAGAGTAACAATAGCAACAACAGGTAAGATATTGTAATGAAAACCTCTCTATGAAAGCTGCAACTGTTTCGGTTTCATTAAACACTGAGACTTCTTTCTTAATATCCCCATACTGTGAAGTGAACAAGCCGTTTAGTGCCCAAGATGTGGGGAATAAGTAATACAGCCAAATCCACCAGTCTGGAATACGCTGCAAGAAGGAAAATTGGCAAGAGAGAATTAGGTTGTAGTAAATTATTTCTTAAGGACATCTCCCTGTTGTCAGAAAACTGAAATTAGAACCAAGTGGACCTCATCATCTTACATTTTACAGAATAATCAACATGCCTTCGATACATCACAGACGACTCTATGCATCATAGTCAATTTAAAGAGTTGAAGATGGAGGTTCTTCAAACATAAACGCGATTCTCCATATAAAGACATTATGAATATTAGGTGTAGAAATTGTTCAGTAACAAAATGAAAATTGAAGTAAATGACGTTAGTTATGGCTTTCTCCAATATTTGAAACTTCCATTTTTCAACTAACATTTGGAACTTTAGTTCAAGACCTTTGGCAGACTTCCTGCTATAATAGATTAAGTATTCAATTCAGATATGCTATTGCAAACTTCTTAAGGTCGGTCTGGAACCATCACCTAGAAAACTTCATGGGTAAAATTATTAACACAAGAATTTAGAAGCTTACTGGTTTTGGTATAATGAATCCGGAGAACAAATTCAGCAGCGTGTAGCAAGATGAGGCTAGGATGGCAGCTATTTGAATCGTTGGTGTCAATGATACCAGCAGCATTCCAAGGTAGCTGAAAGAAAGCAGTGTGCAGAAAATACTGTAGAGTGACCAGAATATCTTGTAGGCTGATGAGTGGTAACCAAACATAGGATATGTGATGATCACACAAACAACTGTTTGGATGAATATGTATGGAACCTCAATTAGCACCTACATGTCAAGCATTGATTTCAAAATAAACACCAAATTATCAAATCAATTATAAAAGCTTAAATTAAATTTCTTGAAGAACTTGACTTGACAGGAATTCAATTTAAATCAACTTCTGTGACAAATTTGAACCTGTGCAAAAGAATATGCCCATGGAGAGTACATTCTTGCAAATCTTTCTCGGTAGAAAACAGTCCGCTCTGTTGCAACGAAGGGCAGAACATTGGAGCAGTTGTTTATGCCAAAGAAGAATACTAAAAGGATCATTGCACCAAAAATGTTGAGCAGGTCCTGCTGGTTGTTTCTGTAAATAGTCAGTATTTTCTACAAATTTAAACTCATCTAACTATATTTTCAGAAACATTAACATGTAGGTGCAAAGCAATAACACTTGTGGAAAACACCAAGAACGAGTTCTAAGGATAGAATTCTCCATGGAATTATATCTCACTTTACCTCAGTGCTTGCTCTGACCACGTTCATGATGCAAGACAAATCTGAAAGTCATTTTTCATGAGGAAACATATTGTGGTTGCAACAGAGAGCAGATGAAGTGGGGATTTGTCTTAAGAAATTCACTTCATCAAGCAAGCAAAATTTACAACGAAAAATATATTGAACTTTTGAGCAACAAGAATATGTTAACTAACATTGTCTTCCCCTGCTGCCAGAACAGCATGCCAAAGAGCACAGATGAGACAGATACAAAAGTTATGCGAGTCAAATTGTATGAAGGACTTCTCCAGTAAGACAAGTTTTGTTTCCATAAACATGCTTTGAACTGCTCCCAACCATTCTGTGCAAAAACTGTCGCAAAATGCAGGTCCTTTGAACCAGGTGATGGTGAACTCAATTGCTTAACCAATTCCTTGTTCTCCTTGCAGTAACAAGGCAAAACACTCATCTACTGAGAAAAAAAATCAAACTGGGAAAAGGGAAATATTCCAGTTATAGCAGCAAAAGGATAATGATTTCCTCCATGGCAGAGGATGATTCTAGGACCTAAATAATTCCTACTTACTTATTCAAGGTTGACAATGTATAGATTTCTGCAAAGTCTACACCGAGTTCAGCTTCTGCAGATTTAGAAGTGACCTCTAACATCCATGTTGCTGGGTTATCGTTGTCTTCGATCTTTGGCACCCCAGGAATGTTCTATGGAAGGAACGGGATAAGAACATAATCAGGAGAAGTGTTTTGTTCATAAGAAACCATGAATCTGATGCCTGAAAGAAAATATTGCAGGGTGGTAGGGAAGAAAAATAATACATCCAAATAGGTCTCGTAAACAAACATGCGCAACTTAAACTAACCTCAAAATATTCAATAACCCTACTTGAGTTCTGACTGAGTGGCCCGGAATAGATGATTCATCCCCCAGATTTCATTAGAAGTAACTGCAGCAAGAGGAAAACATTGCGGCTGTCATAGTGAGAACATACTACTCTAACGTACAGTTTTGTTTAGTAAAAATATTTGATAGTATTAAAATATAATAATAAATCAGACCAATTTCGTTCTGTCTTAGCTATTAGAATAATGAGTCACAATCAATGATGGCATTGAAAGAAGAATGTGAAAATAGACTGGTAATGCCACAGCTAAGAAATGAAAAATAGTCTACGCATATAATTTCACCTCATCAAATGCCTCAAAGATATCAATACTTGGTTGGTGGATTGTGCAAACAACTGTTCTTCCTGTCCTTATGGCTTTGAGACTTATCAAATGGCTTTGAAAGCTCATCATCTAACCTCATGCCCAGATTACATTCTCTGAATTTTTTAATAAACTCGTCAACTGAAACATAGCTATAAGGAACTTCTCTGCTTGACCAATAGTTTGCTTGATCTTTCCTTGAGATAACCTGTTGGAGAACAGGTTAGCAACACAATTTCTTTTACATAATAAGAACCAGATAAGAAAATGATCCCAGCATGCTTACCTCCTGACAGAAATCAGCAACGGCTTTCCGCTCAGGACACCTAAATCCACAGTCCTCAAAGAATTGGAGAATACAAGTTCGTGGACCATGATACACAATCTTTCCTTCAGCCATCAAAATAATGTCATTGAAAAGATCAAAGGTCTCAGGAGCAGGTTGAAGAAGTGAAATCAATGCTGTAGCATCAGTAAAGTGCACCAAGTGCTGAAGACAGGACACTATCTGCAAAGTGGTGGAACTGTCCAAGCCATTGGATATTTCATCCATGAACAAAGCTTTTGTTGGCCCGACAATCATTTCCCCTTCACATTGTTAACAAGAATAATACTTAAATAAACACAAAAATGATATGAATATGAACACCATAATGTCTAAGTCACATGTAAAACAAAAAATGCTGTAGACCAGAAAATCTTCTCATCTTTAAAAGCTGCCTTTGCTGCTACAAGCACATACCTGTCGTTAGCCTCTTCTTTTGACCACCAGATATGCCCCTTCTCATGGCATCTCCAACCAGCATATCAGCACAGATATCAAGTCCAAGAATCTAAAAGAAAAACTTCCACATCATGTTGTGTTTTAATAAGTAGTTATAGGTATTAAAAACCTAGCACTGCAGAAAAGTCAATAAGCTACCTTCAAAATATATTCTGTTTGAAGGCTACTTTTCTGTGCCTTGATTCATATTGCCTGTTATAAACAATGTGAGTAAGAGTTGTATTTTACATATGGAAATATACTAATGCTGACTGAAATGGAAATTGGAAAAGATTGAAACATGATGCTTAATACAGACTGTAAGGAAATTGGAAAAGATCGAAACATAATGCCTAACAAAAATGCTGCAACCCTGAATGGATTTAAGCAATTCAAATCAAGTTAATTCTCATATCTCGAGAAAAAATAGGCGCTATGGGAAGCTAGTAGTTGATCAGGATTCTTAGTGGAAGCATATCACTTTTCAGGTAAATGCCTTTTCTAGACAAAACATAAGATGGAGTAGAAAATATCAACGAATTCCTTTTCTAGAAAATGAATGAAGCACCATGCTAAGAGACCCCATGAACATGGAGACAAACATTTCGGACTAGTTAAACATATACCTTCATGTATGCATCTAGATCAGGATCTGGGACTATCCCTGATTGCTTCTCACATCTGCTGACTTCCACCATGGTTTCTTCAGTGCACGGGAAAAAGAAGTTACTTGTCAAACTGAGAACTTGCTTTGGCAAATTTTCACGTCAAATCCATAACTGTCTAAGGATTCCTTACCAGCACGGCTCCCTATCCCCTGACAACGTGCTGAAAAATCCAATGTTTCTCTCACCGTCATCTCTGGAATATGCAGATCATTTTGACTTATATAGGCCGAGGTTTTCTGAGGAACGAACTCTTCAAGCCCATGACCGTTGTAATATACTTCCCCTCCAACCTTTGAAGGAAGAATAAGAAAAATAATAAATATGAAAAAAGGAATAACATAAAACTTAAGTATGAAATACAGCAATATTGCCTTTACGCCTAATAAATTATCAAACAAAGTACACTCACCCAGGTGGTGTAATTTTACTGAAATGTCATCAGGCGTTAAGAACATTAACAAAATTTTAGAAAGTGAAATAAATGCATTAGAAATAACAAGTTTACCTCCATCTTGAGTCTGCAAAAATTTAATACATGAAGTAGTATAAATGAAGATCAACTTAATGCAATTTTTATAAAGATGACATTACTAAAATCCCTAGATACCCAAAGCAAGTCTCAAAAATTCATTGGTAGTCAAAGATTTTCAAGAGCTACTCCTTTGCTGAAACCACATGAATGAAGAGCCTTTTTTATTTTTGGGGGGTGGGGATGTTAAACCTTAAGAGAATGTGGGGTGTTAAAACCTTAAGAGAATGGCTGAGTTTTCCAGAGAGTGCCAACAGCAATGTGGTTTTGCCAGACCCAGGAGGGCCAAGCAATAAGGTCATCCTGCAAAGAAAACAAGCACCATGTTGACCAATCAAAAAAGAGGTGAACAAAAAGTCATCAAACTATTAAAAACTGAGCATATCAAAGTCTACCTTCCAGGCTTGATAACATCACTGACATCTTTTATGATGATTATTTTGGTCTCTTGCTTTGAACCTAATAGATTGGCCATTCCCTGTTATAACTCAAAATTAAAATGGCCTTAGATTCTGTGTACTAAAACAGTCCTCCATAATCAACCAATGGAGGCCTAGTACTCAAATTTTTTATTTATTCACATGCTCAAGAAAAAAATACTGCAGTATGACATGATAAATTACAAGCAAATCTAAAACAGAAAATTGAAAGGAAAAAGATGCTGAGAATTTACATGGTTATCAAGACGACATACTCTTTGAAGAGATGAATGTGAATTCACTATGAAGAATTCTAAACATTACTATTTACTGTTATTTAACCTTGTCCATTCAAGAAGAATATAACAAAAGGTTCATTTGCTACCAAAGCATAAATCAATATTCCACAGTGGGAACTCTTAACACAAAACATAAATCAATATTCCACAGAGGGAACTCTTAACACACAAACACTTAAGCACGGAGACCCATTACCACAATTTTGATTGTAAATTTCAAAATTATTTTTTAAAAGAAAGCATTTTAGTATACTTTCTGAATCAAAATTGAGCTTTGGAAATTTTTCTGCAGTATTAAATTTCAGACCAGGGGCATCAACAATTAAAGTAGTTGAGACAACCTTTTATTGAAACACAGATACCTACAGATAGCATGCTCTTAGTTGCATTCCAAAGTGTGGGCAGAGGCTTGCCGTGAACTACCTCACAGACTCCTTCAACAGAAAGATTCCTAAACTCACCTCCACAGTGGGCAACTTTACACCAACTCTAGAAGAGTTAAGTATGAATAAGTATTTGAATATAAATAATAGATTGAATAATTTCCTATCAACTTCAAGTTTTTGGAATAATTAGCTAAAAATTTTTAGGCCATATCTAAAGTCTATATATGCATGTACAATTGCAAGAGTCATGTATTAAATGGGGATGCATGTATGTTTAGATATATATATCAACATGTATTATGTTAGAAAAGTAAATGAAGAAAACAAACATTGAGATGAAGAAAGCAAGTGTTACTTGTCAATTCTCTTTCTTAGTTTCTGCAACAATCGCAGGTTATCATGTTCAACATGTTTGATGAGCTTCTCAATCAACAAATGCCGTTCATCTGCACCAATTCTTTTAAGATCAACCACCCGTTTCCCTTTGACATTCCCATGTTCTGCTGAACCATCTTGTAGTTCATCAAACAAAGCTTTAGTAATCCTTTCAAAAGTTGGTAATCTTTGAACAGCCGCCCATTGCAACTCATACTCATCATCATTTTCATCAGCATCACTGTCAGGCTCTGGAGCCATACTTGAACCATTCTGGAAACTTGACACATGTCTTCTAAACGAGGATCTAATGCTTCTTCCAATCTCTGCTAACTCAGTTCTCATAGACTCAATTTCATCAGCTCCTGCCAATTGAGCCATTGTTGGATAAACTCCTGGGTCTGTGGAACTTAACGTGTGTATTTATAGATGCAAATATGATGAAACAAATAATTAATCATGCTGGAAATTACCTAGTCTAGTGAATGAAACATGTAGTTTGTTTAGGTAATGCAATGCATCACATAGGTACAGTAGTTGACACAAGTACTGGGATTTTGACATGCTGCCTCTGTTCTATAATATATATAACACTGAATCTTCAATATATACGCTAATTGTTCATGGAAATGTTCCAATACCAAGGCAGAAAAGAGTAAAATGATGAAGAAAGCAAAAGAAAAAAAAGAAAGAGAAACCGGCATGCTTCATTCAGTTTAAGCTTATACAATGATTACTTGAGTATAAAAAAGAAGAGAATAACTTGGTTTACATAACGTATTCATAAGAGATGACAATGACATGTTAGCAGCTTGTATCAATATTTTAAAAAAAAAAAACTGGCAAGGCAGTCCTCATGGAGTAGGAAGCTTCATTGGCAAGTCATCCTGACTTTTTCCCAACTGTTGGGTATAAAGAAATATATAAATATACAAAACCCACAATCTAATTAAACAAATATAATATGGAAAAATAACCCATAAGTTGAGGTTTACAAGTCTTTACAGCTGAAAAATGATAGCAGCATTCGATCAAACACATATAAGGCGTAATGCAGTCCACATCCAATCTCCCAAATACTAAACCCTCAATCCTCCCAACAAAAGTAATGTTATAAAAGAGTGTAGAAACATATTGTTCGACATGAATCTTGATTTAGATGAAATGGTCTCCAAGATATTCAGAATTTTTGTACTTTTTGCCACTTCTAAAGTTTTTCTAATGCTATTGATTTTGACATAATTTTATGAATCTCATCAAGTAAATTTTTTAAAGCTATTGCCACTTTTGAATTTGATGTAATAAAATTCTCTCATGTCGATTCAAATGAAAAGTCATTCGAAAGACTCTTGACTCTTTCAATTTCACCGTTATGATTCTTCAATATTCCAAACACATGAACAATTTATATTAATTCAAAAGAAAAATAACTCAAAAATAGACTTCAATGTTATAGATATTTAAAATTCTAAAAAGTCATGAGTTATAATCTGTAGTTTTCTAGCAAATTTTTCTTATATTTTGAAGTTATATTTGTTAATATATATAATCCTTTAGATTTTGTCAATTTACTTGGACTCAAAACAAGAATTGGTTAAAAAGCAACTCAATTTTAATGTTACCATCTTCTCAAGTTTCAAAAATCATGAGCAACCCACCATAGTATTTTTTACCATTCTTCAAACTTTTTAGAATCAAGATTTTTTTTAAGTATTCTTGTAAATTTAAATAAATTGAACCAAAAAAAAAATTGGTCATGAAAAGAACTTTTATTGTCAATTTATGATCTCTATGTCATCTATCAATTTATAATCTTTTAAACTTGTAAATTTAAATCGCTACCTACAATAGTATTTTCGATCATTCTTTAAATTTTTTAAAATTAATTTTTTTTTTTAACATTATCATATACTCTTTTTGTAAATTTAAATAAATTGAACAAAAAAATTAATTTTAAAAAGAATTCTTATTATCAATTTATAATTTATACGTTACCTGTAAATTTATAATTTTTTAAATTTATAAATTTAAATCGCTACGTTACCTGTTATGTTTTTGCATATTCTTAAATCTCTTCAATTTATATGAATTTAAAAGAAAAATCGATCACATGTACTCTCAATTTCAATTTTATTTTTTTATAAAGTTTCAAAATTCAAGATTCATAAAGATAGCATTTTTTTCAGTTTTTCAATATCATTGCGTAAATATCACAAACTTATTTGATTCAAAACAAAAATTGCTTTAAACCAACTCTAGATTTAGAGCTCTAGAAATTTTCATGTCTCTGGCGCAATCCAAAAGTTTAAAAATTTACCATACAATTCCTCCATATCCATCCGAAAGCTAGAATTCATCGACCACACATAGGATCCCAAAAAATTCAAAATTCAAGATGGGAGTGAAGGTGAGATAAGATATGAAATATATTCTTATTCTCTTTGTTAAATAAAGTATGGAAATTCTCCTTAAAAGAACAACATGGAAACTGTGGCTAAGAATTAAGTATAAGTAGAATAGGAAGTCAAGCAAAGGCAGCGTTAAAAGCATATGTACAGCATGCAGAAAAGATGGCATCCATTTACACAATTAACACACTGTATTGACAGAAATTGTTGAAACAATGAAATGGTCTATTTCTACGTACCACTACAATGCCCCCAAGATTATAGAGATGTGTACTGACTGATTCTCTTGTGTTAGCACTTGTAACCTGTACTGTACACCCAAGTTTCCATACAGCTTCTACCAGCACATCATAAATAAGACATGTAAGTTTAAGCCAGCAGATGGAGTTTTCTCATGTCATATTGAGAAGAAGAGGCAGGACCTCTGAACCGTGAAATCCAATGATTTCAAGTTAAAGAATCAGCTTCCATGTTTTGTCCAACTAGAAACTACCTTTTCCCTGATTACACACACTATAGTTTCCTATTCACTTTTAGTTTTAGACCCATTAATTAACCTCTGTTTTTCCTGCTCCAAGTCGTAGATCTTGTCATTCATTCCTTCCTTCCCAAATGCCTCCACCATAATACTGAAAGTTGTGGAATCTGGTGGGCAGTGCATATCCTTCATTCGCTTATACACCCTCTCCATTTCCATCAAATCCTCTGCCTTTGCACATGCGGATATAACTGCATTATAGAATGAAGTATTCTCTGGTATCTCAAATTTTGCAGCCATTTGAACACAGTTAATCACCTTGTGAAACATACCAGCATTTGCATATCCATTGATAAGATAGCAAAAAGTCTTAGTGTCAGCTTTCATACCCTCTGCACGCATCTGATTAAATGTGTACTCCATGTGTTTGGCATCCCCCACCTCCGCGAAAGCCTCAATCACATTGTTGTACGTTGATGTCGTCCATGGATACTGAAGCTTACGCATGTATTCCATTACGGATGACATTTTGTCATACCTTCTTTTCCTCCCATAAGCACCAATCAAAATATTGAAAGTTCTTGTCTCCGGCTCAATCCCGAAATTTCTAAACTTCTCATACCATCTTTCCATCATGTCTATCTGCCCAATGCTACCAAACACGCTAATGATAGTATTCATCGTCCACACATCAGGTTTACAAGTTCTGCTCTCTAACATCCCTGACAATACTTTCTCCATCTGATCAAATTTACCAACCTTACCATATCCTCTCAGTACTATGTTTTGTGTCACGGTGTTGGGAGTTATCAGTCGCTCATCCATTTCTGCATATAAAGACTCGACCAAATCAAACCGGGAGGCATCAACACAAGCTTTAATCAAAGTGCTATAGGTGAAAACATCTGGCTGGCAATGAGGGAGGGCTTTCATCTGGATAAGAATTGAAAAGGCATCATCAAGGAGATTGTTTCTACAAAAAGCTGCAAGCAAGGAAGTGTAAAGTTCAAGAGTGGGTTCCAATCCTTCTTCAATCATTTCGTCGAATAGCTGACGGGCACGGTGGGGTTGCCCAGATTTTCCAAGAAGAACAAGGAGCTTCACATAAGTCCCTTCTTTAGGTTGATAAAAGGGCTGCTCTCTAAGCATCTCAAGTACCTGAACATTCATACCAGCAGACCGTGAATAAACGTGAAGCATCGACAGTAGACAGTGGCCGATGTTAGCTAGACACGTAAATATCTCTTGAAAATGGAACGCTAGTAGAGCAAGCGAAGTTAGCTGATAATAAAAGGCATCGAAAAGGGCAGGTAAATTCGAAGAAGAATTCAGAACATTTGTGAAATTGGGATGAGAAAGGGACCTGAAGGGCTCGGAGCCATTGCTTGTTGAGGATGCAATCAGACAAGGTTTCAGTGACGGTGTTGGTCCAGGCCTTGGCTTTGGCTTTGCGGTCCACTTTCTTCTTGACATTCTTAATGGGTGTTTTGCGGGAAGTTCCAGAGGAGAAAGACTCAGATACTCCAGGGTGTTCACCTTGCTTCCAGTGTCTCTTCTTGGCAGTAGCGGAAGATGAAGGAGAAGCAGTCAATGCGCATCGAATGAGACTACAGTTTCTGGGTTTGGTAGTTAGTCGCTTGCTCTTCTGCTCAGCCCGAGACAGAGAAAAGGGAAGGAGAGAAGAAGAGAATGAAAGAGAGATCGATGCCATTGATGTCGCCATGCCAAGCTACTTTGCACTCTCTCGGTTCGCGGGCGACTGTCAAGATAATGAACTAACCTGACATTTGTTGGGTCAACATTCAAATCCACTAGATATTTGTTTTTAACAAAAATCCAGTAAAGTCATAAACTTTTTTTTTTGTTCTTTTTTTTTTTGGTGAAAATGAGGGAAGGCATAAGTAGACACCTACATAAAGAAGCAATCTTTATCCCAAAAAAAAAAAAAAGAAAAGCAATCAATTAATCTTAAATTTATATAAAAAAATATGTGTATATATATAAACTATTTCCCAGTTGTTCTGTCTTCAAAAACTGTAAAATATGTTTCTCACCCGATGACAATATGAATATTTCTAATGTTTTCAATGTCAAAGCCTGATACCCACAACAGCAGAGTGGTAAATGCAGAGAGGAAAACACTAGTTTATGTAATTGAACTTTTCCCATATATATAATGAGAATTGAAGATTAGAATTTATACATAAAGACTACTGTATATTTTTAGCTTAATCTAAATCCATATAAATCAAAACAACTACTACACCATCCTTCTCATTCAGTTGAGGAAAGAAGAAAGAAAAAAAGAAAATTACTGCTAATGGAAAATAAGGAACATGACTAACTATCTTAACTAGCGCCATACTCCAGCAGCTCCCACCTGAAAGGCCGGAACACACAAAGAACTTCAGGTGAGCTTTTGAAGAGCAGAGCCACACAAACACACACAGCAGCAATGGCCACCATTGACAGCATTACTGGCCTATATACTAGTGAAGTTCTTGAGGTTCCATATGCTAGTTTCTGTTCACAAAGCCTGCAGTGCCTTTGTGCTGCTTTTGCTTCAATACTGTCCAAGCTTGTGAATTTAGCTGGTTTTAGCCCCTCAGATGGTTTGCAATCCATGAATGTATTGGGGATATTAAGCACTACATGACCACTTTCAGATTTCTTGCTGATTTTTCTCTGAACCAAATGGATATAAGAGTAGTGACCTCGCATGCAGGCATAATCATTAGGGGTCAGACCTGTACTGTCACGAGCAGTCTTCCATGCCTCAATCCCCACCTGAACAAGGCACACCATGTAACGTATTACCTATGGAGCTTGACAACAGAATTAATCAATTAAGAAAGAGGAACTAACATAGACTACAGTGAAAAATTGTTTTATATACTTCTCTCTTTTAAAGCAGCTTGATATAGTAGATAATAGGAATTAAAGTATCACAATGGAAGGCAAGAGATTAAAGTATACCGATCCAGGATCATCAGTCAAGGCATCCAATATATTCTCAGAGCCAGCTGCACTAGCTGCCACATGAAGAGGTGTCAACCCAGCTGGCCCAACAACATTCGGTTTAAACATGAGGTCCTCCAATACCGAATCCACATGTTGCATCTGCTCAGATCTTGGTTTTTCCAACTCTTTGTCTGGGACATATCTCAGTAGCAGTTCCACCATCGGCCTGCAATTTCTATGCACAGCTCTATGGAGGAGACACATATCCAACAATGCGAGCTTAATAGAGGAATGGTTCCCTGAGTCAACAGTTCCATTAAAAAAAATGCTCAATAACTTCTTGACTACGGCACACCAATCATGGTCTAATGAGAATTCCATAAGCCACTTGAATCGCTTGAAAGAGAATAGTTCGGGGTTGGGATCCAAGTGACCCAACCTAAACTTCAAGTGATTTCTATGAAGAAGCCAACCCATTTCATGCATGAAGTCCAAAGCTTGGTTCTTGGATTCAATTTTCTCAGCTCTCTTTTGATTGTTGTCATCACTCTCAACAATCTCAATTACACCTTCTAGCATACAGATCTCAGAACACACGTCTTCCTCCGCAACTATAAATGGAAAGAAGCTACTGCTGAGACCATAATCTTCAACCTGGTTGGATTGAATAAGAACTTTCATATTAGAGATGTGGAAGAAATGTGCTCATGCATAAAGATAGAATTGGGAATCTTTTCCTATTTTTCCTCCCCAGTGACTTAGTCACTGCTTTATAGTTAGTACTCCAGTTTGTGCTATTTTTCAGAACAAGGATATCAGACTATTACCTGACATTTGAAAGTCAAGTAGGGGATAAACCAGGTGGGTGTTGCAGATGGCAACTTACAAAGAAGATGACATCCTAGGGCAAACAAAAAAAAAAAATAAAAGAAGCCATGTTCGATATTAGAGAGGGGAAGAGAGGATGGAGGTGGGGATTAAATGATTATCTAAGGCTGAATAAAAATGCAGTTAATGATAGCAGGGAAAATAGAAGAGGATGACAGGAAATCCATGATTATGCTCTCAGAGACACCCACTTTAAAACCAAATTCAAGCTGAATACTAGTATGAGTATGTGAACTTTTAATCGTATGGATCCAAAAATATAAAATAATTAAGAGGTGGAAGCAGGGAATCAACTTCAGTCCTTCAAGGCCAAAAGTCATAATGTTATAAGGTCTATATTTCATTTACCACATATAGAATCATGATTAGAAGAAAGGGCAGGTTGACATTACCTCAATGAATCCTCTACCAGAAACATTTGGTATGGAACAAGAGAAGGTCAGAAATTGGAGCTCATCATGTTCACTGGATGCATCATTACTATCCATCAAATCACTACAAGTTTCCTGCACCAGGTATCTTCCTTCTAGAGCACAGAACAACCTACATCACAAGGTGCTGAGACTTGTTAATACTGCACTAACTCTTTAAATTTAAGGAGAAAAGAGCCTTTCCCTTATTTGAAATTACCTAGTGGTGGACCGATAAAGGTTGAAGCCCTTGACTACAAATTGAGTTCTTCCTGATACAGGTAAAGCAATTGGCCTGATGCTTGTGATCCTGCAATTTTTATGGCTTTTTAGAGGCAAGGGAGTGTCTAAAACAACCTGACCTGCAGAAGAAATATGGCAATCAAAATATCTTCCCCATGTTAGTCGCCACACCAGATACACCACACACACAAGAGAGAGAGAGAGAGAGAGAGAGAGAATGTGTATCTATATGTGTTCTAACCATTATAAACAAAAGCTACGCAGTGTTGCACTCTTGCATACACCCATCCTGTTCTCCATAATGAGTCCCTGGAAGCATCAAGAAGCTTTCTTAAACTGGAGCCAAGATCAAAGTAGATCTGCAAATAACATCAGCGATTAAAAGTTCAGCAGTTTTCATGCAAGAAAGAGGAACAGCTTCATATTTTCTTGAATATAGCTTACCTCATCCCATGTGGATTTGCCTAGACGAAGATATATTGTTAACACAATACAGCCAGGTCTTATATAGCTCTCGATATCTGTAGGACTGTGAGATAGCCAGTCCAGAATCTGCAAATTTAACATATTGTACAAAGTCAAACCATCTATAGTAAGATAATCAAACAGAATGCTTTCATCCAAAAATGGTTTGAAAGATACCTCTCTACGCAGAACAGCTGGAAAGTCACTTGGGTCTTTCCCAAAGAGCTTAAAAACAATCCGGTCCGTACGACTCTGAGAATTGGTAGGAAAATGAACGGTCAAAGAGTGATAATCATTCAAAACCTCCAAAGAGAAAATGAGAGCCATAAGATTTCACCCAAAAACAAATCCTTGGTCAATAACTGAGGAGCAGCTGAGTCTCGCATCAGTTTTACATATTAAAAGTAATTGCATGTCTAAATTCTGATCACCTCTGTGGATCCAAGTGATTTATTTATTGAGTTACCAATTATTAGGGAATAAGATACATGTAGCATAACCTCCAGAACTAAAAGTATGAGTGACCGATCAGTTGACTGCTTCATTCCATAGCATTATATGTTACTGTGCAGCATATGAAAAAGGAAACAAAAGCTATAAAACAGACAGAGGTAACAAGTCGATCTTCTAAGAAAATAAGTCTACCTGAGCCTCTCCACTGGAAGTAGATGGTGACTGACTAGATGTTGAATCTGAGTTTCTGCTAAACTCGGGTGGACTTGATTTGTTAGAGTCGGGATGTAGCCATAAAGACTTATTGGCAGAACAAAGCCCAGGAGTTACAAGCGGATGAGAGTTCTCCAGGTTCTCTCCGTAGTCTAATGAATCATCATAAACATTGTTCAAGTCAATGTTATTCATCCTCATCCTCGAAGCTGTAGCCTCTTTTTCATTGACTTTCACTGGAAGACTGTCTCTTGATTGAAATTGCAATTTGGGTGGGGGACCAGATAGAGGATTTATACTTTGATCTTGAACATCACTAGCCAATTTTCTTTTCTCTGCCAAATCAGAAGCAGGCTTAGAGCCACATTGGCCGGCAGGCCTGAAAACAATTGGGTAATCAGAACCAGGCGCTGAAGAAGTTCTAGCAGCTTCAGGACCATTTAAAGCTACATCTGTCACCTTATTAAGTTTTCCCAGGGACGTCCCAGTGCTAAGCAAACCTTGAGATTCTCGGAGTAATCCAGATAAATTTTCCCCATTACTTGAACCAGCAAGAGTGGCCAAGTTTTTCAACAAATGAGAAAGCAGATCCTGATCATTTGATTGATCAGTGTTATTTGCTGCAATCAATTCAGGCAGAATCCTTAAAGTCATATAAATATCAAAAAGCTTCCTCAAAAAAATTATGAAAAGATGACATTAACAATGAGAACAACTGGATAGAGTGAGAGTGAGAGAGAGAGAGAGAGAGAGAGAGAGAGAGAGAGAGAGAGAGAGAGAGAGAGAGAGAGAGAGAGAGAAGCAAACAAAAATAAGTGAAACAACTTACAAATATGTTGAATTGGTATTTGATCACCCTAAATAATAATCACTGTTTTTTCTTGTTTTACCTTTAACTGGCTTAAAATTTCAAGTGGATAACTACGAGCCATAGTATATTATCATGTCCATGGACCAAAAGGATTCAGAACCCTTCCCTTCAAGTTCACATCAACATTTCTAAACTCCAGAACAAAGAACGAATTGGAAAGATGATCTCCAACTAAAACTGAAACCATATCATCTTTTATAGAAAAGCAACTTCAGGAAAGTACCTACCATAAAATCCCCAATTCTTTTTATCTTGTTGAAGACAATAATAAGCATTAAGACATTAGGAAGCTAGCAAGTTGCTTTCTAATCAATTTGTAGACCTACTGATAAGCTACAAAGAAAGTTGTCACAATGACACCCAATTAACTTATAGGTTCTTATTTCAGAAATGTGCAGGATCATTACCATACAATTGATTCAAGCAGATTGCATATGCAACCAACGGATGTAATTTACTAATGGTTAAGCAGTAAATTAGCTGTCTTAGTAATACAATGTTACTTACAGTGCATATTAGAGAGAATTCTCAGAAGACTTATTAGAAGATAACTACTACTCCTTTCATCAGGAAGGGAGGCACCATTAGTTATGTTCTCAGGATGTGTTTTCCTCCTTCTTTTGTTATGACCTGCCAGTCGCCTTCGGCAGCTTCTCTTCCCTTCATCAAATTCTTGAAGAACATGAAACCTGCCCATAAGTAAAAGAAAATTGCATCTAAATGGAGAAAACAAATTCAACTACAACTTTATACTACAATTAAGACATGATTTAGGAACTCTGGGACGAAAACAAACAGTATTTAGAAGACAAAAGGCTGAGAAGACTCAATCTGGCTGCTGTTCATTCTTGACAAAGATGGGCACAGAAAGCAACTACCATAGTCACGAGGGTTAAATTTTGTTTATGATTCTACAATGTTTTCAGCTTTTTTTTCTCAACTGAAGAAAAAAACGAAAAAAAGAAGAGAGATCCTTATATCGGCCGACCCACCTGCTACATTGCTGACAGAACCTCTGCATAACATTTCCCACGAGAGCTTTACTGGCCTTGGAATGCATATCACAAACCTTATGGCGCCGGTGGTAATCCTTAGCACTGCTGAGATCAGTTTTACAGTCCTCAACCTGACAAAGCGCACGGTTGGAAGGAGTTGCAGCAATTTTAGTCTTCTTCCCACTCTTTGCATCCCCATCAGTAACCGGGTAAACATGCCCGCCAAGCTTCAAATTGAGGGACCCTGCTTCTTCCCCATTCAACTCTTCATCTTCAACAACTGTAACCCTTCTCCTTTTGTCAAGTTCCCTCTTTCCTTTACTATTATTCACTGCATTGACTTCATCGGAAGAAGATGAATTGTTTGCATTCCCTTTAGTGCCAATTTCAGGCCCAATTGGAAATAACTGTCTGCTCCTACAATCTGATGGTAAAGGATTGACTGGATTAGCAGTAAAAAGATCACCATCCCATTTCCAGTCATTCAAATCCCATTCTAAACTCTTTTTCCCAACAGTCTTTAAATCAGATACTACTGGACCGTATAAATTATGCGGCTTTCCTCCAAACCTTCCATCCATTCTCAACCAGATTAACAGAAGACTCAGGAAAATGGAAATCGAACACCTAGATTCCAATGTTACCAAGTACGGAAATTGAACAAGAACCCAGTTAGAAAACCAAGATCAAACCATTATTAAGCAAACTTTAGCATCCAAAAACGTTAAGCCCGTCTAGCTTTTACATATCCCCTATAATCCCAAAAAATACAGTACACCACCATGAATCCAGACAACAGCTGCCGACACGGCAGAAACCGGCGAAAGACGACCCTTTTTATCACCTCAAAAGAAACAAACAGTCGACCAAAATTCAGTCAGCTGAAGGGTCCTCAAACACATGTCATCTTCAAGATTCTCCATACAATCAACCTCAATTTAGAACAGTGACAAACTTCTGACAAGACACAAATTCAGAAAGCAATAAAAGGATTATACTTGCCGTAGAGGGTCGAATGCTGGGAGCTGAGGAGGAAAGTGTAGAGATGAGCGGAGAGGAGAGCAAATATAGCGGGAGTGGTAGCCAAAGAGAAGAAGTAGCCAAGAGGGATAAACTAAAAGAAAAGCAGAAGCAGAAGAAACAGAGCAAGTGAGGAAATTTAGGAGAAAAGTTTGTGTGATCTAAATGCTGTTCCAGTGGTAAGAGAGAGAGAGGAGGAGGAGGAGGAGGAGGAAAGAGTAATTATATTAGGAAGACAAGTTTAGGAATCTGGAAGCCCCACAATCCGTGTCTCTCGCCTCCACTCTCTCTTGCTTCCACTGTGAAAAATACCAAATTGTTATGGGTGTGTTTAGGATCGGAAACGTGCCCAGATTTTATTTGAGTTTGGTGATCTTTTTGACTGTGTCTTTTTTCCTCCCGAACTTACCAGTTAAAATTTTAAAACCAAAAAAAAAAAAAAAAAGAAAAAGCTTTTCACGGTGAAATTAGAAAAATGAAAGAAAAAAAAATGGAAACTTTAAAATGTCAGGTGAGTCCAAGGAAGCAGGGAGGTGCACAGAAAGAGAATAATATATATTTTAATAATAGAAAAGGTTCGTTCATGTATGTAAGCGGCAGGTTACAAAACAGAGGAATCAGACAAGACACGGCGCAAAGTGTAAACCGATTTGATTTTTTGAGGTTTTGAACCGGACACAGGAAAATCTACCGTCTTTTGTTTTCTAGTCACCTGGTTTTTTTTTTTTTTTTTTTTTTTGAATTAACTTCAACTACTAATTTTCTAGGGTAACCATTTAACAAGAAGAGTGGCAACGATGTTTCTAAGGATTAAAGTTTTTAGCTTTTAATTATTTAGCATATGGGTTAATCTGGGATTCCAATTAAATTAAGTTGGAATGTGGACAAACTGATGGAGACGATTGAATTGAATAGATGGACCCTCCTTTTTTTTTTAACAGCTACATTTCACTTTTACTTGTTAGAAAGAAGATGGCAGAGTATGAGGCAATTTGCTTTCCTCAGCAAAAGTATGTTGCTGAGCTGATGGGCATATATTCATTCCACCAATTTCTTCTCATCTTCTTTTCATTTGGCTGATAATTCAAACCCTAACTAACTTGTAAAGGGTAGATTAGATATTAGATTTTTGAATATATCATGTCATGCTGCGAATATATTCTTACATATTTTATCGTGTTATCTCTTAATTAGTTTTTACGAGTCATATATATTTGATGAGTAACTAATAATTTTCAGTAATGAGATAATAATGTTCGAGTAAAAAAACAAAATTGCAAAAACATGATATGATATTATTCTTATTACATGTCGTTCAAAGTAAACTTCGGCCAAAAGAGGAAAATAAAGAGAAAATTTGGCACCCAATTCCCTTTGCCTACCTTCTTTCCTAATGCAGCCTGGTCAGGTATCATGTGTTTTTGTAGGTTCACCCATTTAACTCATTTGGTATATTTTCTTCTACATTCTTTTCAAAAGTTGGTTGTAATTTCCCAAGACAAATCTAACGTGGAGTAATTGAACTTGCATGAAATCAATCTCCTCATTATTATATAATCATCTTTTTTAAGATTTCACCTTAAAAACTCAAGAAATTTTAGGTGGCAATAGATGATTGGATGTTGGGTTTGAAGAGACCAAATAAAAGAGTGCACGAATGGGTATGGAGCCACTAACATTTGTGGAGTCGAGAGGGATGGGTGCGGTCCCCGACTCCCAAATGGTTTAGCTTTAGGCAGCTCATGTGAATGGTATGGACTGTATCTATCTATACATATAAAACCCACCATATTATTTACTCTTAAAACTATACATCATTCATTTCTTCTTGTCTTAAAAAAGTTTTTAGTAATTAGGTTATATGTTCTTATGTCTCTCTCAGGTAATAAATTTTGGAGGGTCCAGAGCATGAAGGCGTTAAATAGATGGTCTCCAGTGCTGCACATGGGGGGAGATGCAGTCAACTCAAAAGACTCACAATTCTTAAACACCTCCCCTACGGCTTACATTTTTATTTTGAAATCAATGTTGCTTTTTCATTTTTGATCAAAGCATTTGAAATAAATGCTTAGTACACAAACAGCACTAGTTCTTTCAACATCTTATACATATATATATTGAGGAAACAGGGTGTTATTATATAATATATGCATATGGGTTAGAAGATAATGTGATTATTTCCTTATCTATTATGAATGGCTGTTGATTTACTACCACTAACAAACTGTCTCAAGGCTTCAAAATGGGGCCTTTATAATAATTTATATGTATACACCCCAACCACATTGCTTGTGGGCTCAACCCAAATATTGGAAGATTTTATTTGTCCCAAATTTTGTTTCTAAAAACATTTTAAACTTTATTTTAAAATTACTGTACACTAACCCACAAAGTTTCCCGGATGCACAGTCGTTACGTCCACGTCTATTTCTCGATATTAAGCTGCGAGTTTGAGTTAAATTATGTGTTTTTATGTCGATAAATCTGATTCATGTGGTGATGCATTATGAATGGGGTTTATGTTTCATAGTTCATTATACCAAATGTCTTGCAAGTTGGGGCCTTTCACCTTTGGACATGGCCTGTTTCCAATTCCTCCATTTTCAACAATTATAGCTTTTCATTAAAATATGATTCCAACCCTAATTTTCTTTTTTGGGGATAAGATAGGTTTATACCAAACAAAAAACGAAAAGGGTACTTGATTTTTTACCTTTTAAGAAATGGTCTCAATGCTCCTGATGTTATTATTATACTCTATAAAATTTGGAGACGAAACCATTTCATAATGATGATTATTGCGAATCATACGGAATCAAAGTTCAAGAATCTAGTAAACGCTGTATTAAATTTATTACAAATTGTGAGACGAAACTTAAATCTCAAGTATAAAATGACAAGTGAAACGTAAGTTTGAATTGAACGAGGGAGGCAGGCAGGTTGAGACAATTCTTCCCTTACCACAAAAGTCAAGCAAGACTGACCAAGACAACCTCGCTCTCTCTCATTTCCATATTTAACAAAATATCCTAGCAAAAGGTATCACCTTGCTATCCTGTTACTCCAGCGCAACTTAGCAATCCCTGCCTCTCGATTTCTTATACTAACATATATATATATATATATATATATACAGAGAGTGAGAGAGAGAGAGGGTGTAGGGTATAGACTTTCTCGTCTGAAGTCTAAGCCAGACCCGAGAGAAAATAGAAGACTAAGAACAAACAAACACCCACTTGTCACCGTTCAACAAGGCATGCTTTTCCCTTTTCTCTTCAACTTTTAATGTCAAATTCAAGATTTTTCTTTAATTTTGGTTGATTTTCTTCACTCTGTTTCTCTTTGTTGCTCTTCCTTTTGATTTCATCTCGATCCTTGATATCTTGCCGGGGAAACCCAGTTCAGTCCTTAAATTTCCCTTTATCTTCGCTGATTACGGCTCTACAACCATTTAATTAGTTAAGACGATTACTCTGAGCAAACCATCATTATCATATCAGGGTTTTAGTTCCCAATTTTTTGTTTTTTTGCTCCTTTTTTTTTTTCTTGGTTTTGGTGGGGTTGGGGGGAATGGGAGAATAATTCATTTCGTTTTATGGGAAAGATGGGGACTGAAGTACTTTCATTCTGTTATATGATTTAGATACATTTCTGACATAAATTTTCAAGTAAATGGAGAGTTTGTTTTGTAATCTAACCTTGTTTTTCTTACGTTATATCATAATCAGCGATGGGGTTTCTGAGTTAAAATTTCAGTTTCTGAACTCTTTCCGTGTGTTGTTGAGGCTGTTCTCATCATCTTCCCTAATTTACTCTTTGTTCTTAATTCATGATTTAAAAATTTTTTGTGGATTCTTTCAGGGAGTTCACTTCAAGAACAAGCATCATGAGCTGCTTCAGCTGTTGCGAAGAAGATGATAGCCATAGACCTCCTCAAAATGGTGCCTTCATGGCAAATAGTGCAGCAAGTAATTCTGCCTTCAAAAGCTGTTCTTCTTCCCCATTTTGTTTGGTTTCCTGGAATTTTTGGTCGACTTGAGCTAATACTTTTGCGCATCAGCATATAAAGAAAAAAGTGCAATGTCTATTTTCCTTAAAAAATCTGCTTCTAACTTTTAGCAAATACCAACTTTCACTCTACTTGTTTCGCATGATACCGCCATCTTTTTTATCTGATAGGAATATTCTTTCTTGGTGAAGTAGTGTTTAGTTGTTCGAATTACCAGTTTGTGTTTCAGGGTGCATGCTTCTAGATATCTAAGATGGAGAAGCATTCTGTCAGCATTCTTTTTTCCTTAAATTTCTTCATGCCCGATCTTTTAACATGATATTTAACTTGCAGCCAGTACTGGACATTATCAAGTGAAACAAGCTGCTCCAAGGGATACACAGGTTATAGCTATGCAACCAATTGCTGTCCCTCCCATTTCAATGGACGACCTGAAGGATGCTACTGATAATTTTGGGACAAAGTCTTTAATTGGTGAAGGCTCATATGGACGAGTATATTATGGTGTTTTAAAAAATGGCCAGGCTGCAGCCATCAAAAAGTTAGATTCCAGTAAGCAACCTGAGCAAGAATTTCTGGCACAGGTTAGGCCAATAGAAATGCATATATGTTAAGTACCAATCCAATGCTAAACTGTATGCTGACTTTCCATTTCTGTTTAAAAACATATTGTATCTTGCCAGGTATCAGTAGTATCCAGATTGAAAGATGAAAATGTTGTTGGGCTCCTTGGATATTGTGTTGAGGGTCCTCTCCGAGTCCTTGCTTATGAGTATGCTCCTAATGGATCTCTTCATGATATTCTTCATGGTAAGTTATGTTATTTTCTTCCCTAATTTATTTTTATTCTAATTCTTAACTTTCCAAACTGCCTCAGACTATTTTCATCTCTCTACCAATGAGAGCTATGGGATGGCCACTGAAATCCTTTTCAGGTGTCTTTGGTTGAGTAGTTAAGGTTTATTCACTGAAGAATATTACATGTGGTGCATGTTCAGTCTTAATTACTGGAAGTTGGACTTATGATAACTAAGTAGTCCTTTTATAACTATTCTAAGAGAGGATTGATATGAATTCCAAAACAACAGTTAGCCGCTCTTACTGGACCCTGCTCTGTACTCATAGGAGGATCTTATTAACACCATTAGGTACTTCATATTTTCTACTCACTTGTACAAATGAAACCAGGATCTACCCCAGGCCCTCACCCATGGTTGGGAAATCTACTTTTAAGTGTAGATTGAGGGTGCATATCCAAGTGAATCTACTGAATTCCACTGTGATGCGACTTCAGTCTTCAGCCATTAATAGTTTAGCATTGCTTGGCTGGAATTAGGAAACTCTCATCAACACTCGCTCCTGGAAAAGTTAGAGCAGGCCTCTGTATTTATCAAGTGACAAGATATGTATATAAAAATTTTATGTTTGTCTATGTAGGAAAGAAAGGTGTTAAAGGAGCACGGCTAGGTCCTGTTCTGTCATGGGCACAAAGAGTTAAAATTGCTGTTTGTGCATCAAGAGGACTCGAATACTTGCATGAAAAAGCACAGCCTCATATTATCCATCGGGATATTAAGTCCAGCAATGTACTGCTTTTTGACGATTACGTAGCTAAAATTGCTGATTTTGATTTGTCAAATCAAGCCCCAGATTCTTCAGCACGCCTACACTCCACTCGAGTTTTGGGAACCTTTGGTTATCATGCTCCAGAGTAAGATAACAACTTCTTGGCCTTTTCTCCTTTCATTTTCCTGTAATTGTGTTTCAGTACATCACTTCCTAATGGCATAGAAAATGTTTTTCTGCCCACCATTCTGCCAGCAGTAAATAGGATACTGCAAGCCAGAAGAGTTGTCAAAGCTTGTATAAGTTCTTGTGATTTTGTATGCAGGTATGCAATGACTGGAACATGGAGTTCAAAGAGTGATGTCTACAGCTTCGGTGTTGTCTTGCTAGAGCTGTTGACTGGCCGTAAGCCTGTTGATCATACTTTACCACGGGGGCAGCAGAGTCTTGTGACATGGGTACTGTTAACTAGTTCTGGCACCTTTGTTCTTTTTTTCTTTTATATTCCATGCAGCAGGGGGAGAGAGGAGCATGTGTTGTTTGATGTGTGAATCTCTATAATATCTGATTCTTTGTCCAAAACCTTGTGTTTTAGGCAACCCCTAGACTCAGCGAAGACAAGGTGAAACAGTGTGTTGATGCAAGATTGAACGGGCAGTACCCTCCTAAGGCAATTGCAAAGGTAACAAAGACGAGACACTGGGCCTGTGAAGATCCATAACATTTCACTTCTAATTGATTGTTTTGATGTTATGTTACTCTTTTGTGCTTTCTTGCTTGGTGGGTGTCATACTCCAAAGAAATATGAACTTTGAGCTGAATTTTGTTCTTTACATTACAATCTCTAAATAGTTGATCTTCACATGTTGGGACCAGATGGCTGCTGTTGCTGCCTTGTGTGTGCAATATGAAGCTGATTTTCGCCCAAATATGAGTATTGTAGTGAAAGCTCTCCAGCCTCTTTTGAACACTCGAGTAGCTCACCACAGTGAACCCCACTCATGATGCGCCACATCTTGCCTCAGCATATGGTTGTTTTTTTGAAAAAAAAAAATTATTTGTAAATTTGGTTCTATAAAAGGCGTTAAATTATGTGCAGTTATTTAAACCTCATTTGATATTTGTTTTGGGATAAGATTGGCAGGATTTTGCATATTCAATTACCTTAAGCCACAAGGTAATCCGTGATAGGGGCTATTTATTGGTGGTTTATTTATGTTTTTAGCAGCTTCTAATTTTCATGTTCTTGTGAGCTGATGAATGCCAAGTTAAATTCAGATATATTTTGGTTAAACATATTTATAAGCTTCATTAACTTGTTTACAGCCTGACAGCTACGATATATTCCTTGAGGTTGAACTTGTTCCAGTGAGTAAGTAAAGAACTATAGATTTAGGTTAAAATGGCTGATAACAAGATCCTGAAAATAAGAAGTAAATAACTATTGTCTGTTCTCAGAAAATCTAAACTGCTACATGAAAGGATAAAGGTAGTTTCTTTATGATTCTCTTCAAGTATTTTGAATAATTCTCTCCAGAAAGCACAGAAGCCTTTAATACAAACCCTCCCACAACTTCAAACAAGCCTGTATCATTGTTGTTCTTTACCTTTTGTTCCCAGAAACAACCACTTATAAGCAATCAACCTTTAACTAAAGGATCTACAACCAAAAGATAGAAGGAAAAGGAAAAAGAAAAAGAAAAAGACAACAGAACTCCATATAAACCTGTACAAGGCACCAGTGGCGCTCTTGCGAGACTTCCCCTTTTCAAATACATGCTAATCGTCTTCCGATCTCTTCGAACAAATATTAAGGTGGCAAAGGAAAATCGGGATCACTCAAATGCCTGCTTATGTTCCCTGCCTTTTTGAGACAGGCCAACTTCTATAAATTGTTTCTTGTCCATGTCAAGCCTGATTCCTAGGGTTGAACCTCGACCTGGGTAATTATCACTCCTCCAAATGTCAACAGTCTCCCTCTGAATTTTGAGGCTTGCCCTCTGTAACAGGAGCCTGACTCTTTCGCCGCCTTCGATCCTTGAAAATCCAACAACGACAACATAATAAAAAGTGAAATCGTAATCCTTAATAGCATGGCTCATTTAATTAAGCACCTACTTTCCCATCAGTTAGGTGTGACATGTTGCATACTTCTTCTTCGTCAATGGCAATGGTGGTGGACAATATTCAATTTGTTTGAAAGTAAGTTAACAGTTCATACCTCTCTGGGAACAGGATATTCCTCAGATTCTAGCATGCGGACCACTTGACTCATCTTGGGTCTTTTATCAGCATCAGGATCAACACATCTTAAAGCAGTCAAAAGAGCTCGTTTAAGGGCACTTGTTGTCGGTTTACTCTCTATGTTTGGGTCCACCACTTCTTCAGAGCGTCTAAGTTGAACCATCATCTTGAGCCATTCTACCATATTTACCTGAAAAACAACCACCCATTTTGATCATATCAAGATAACTGGGATTCAGAAGAGCCTTTGGACAAGTCAGGTGGGAAGTTCAAGAAGTATAATGAAATAGATGAAACTATAGGCTTTCTTCAATATTAACTTGACCAGGATAGCTTATAAACTGGAAATTAAAATATAAAACAACCGTAACAAGCTTCAGAATATATACTAATAGCATTTTGATGATCTTTAGGACATACCTCAGACTGAGGGCGCCCATAATCCACTGGATATCTTCCAGTAATTGCTTCTAAGAGCACAACCCCAAAGCTATAAACATCACTCTTCTCATTTAGGAGGCCAGAATTGGCATATTCAGGAGCAACATAACTGAAATCATCCAAGAAACAGAAATATTATTTCCCAACAATCACATTTCAAGGCTTTCAATATCTCCAATGTCATAATAATTAAAAACAAAAGCATTACACGAAAAGAATTATGGGGACCAAGAAGACTCACCCAAATGTACCCATAACTCTGGTTGTAACATAACTTTTCCCGGCACCAAGCAATTTGGCCAGACCAAAATCAGATATCTTGGCATCGAAATTGTCATCAATCAGTATGTTACTCGACTTTATGTCTCTATGCACCACTTTGGGTTCAATGGCCTCATGTAGATAAGCTAGCCTGCAACATACAGACACAATCATGATGAGATGAACACTGAGATAAACATAAACAACTAATATTTAGGGTGTAAATGGACTTACGCCTTAGCAGTGCCAAGAAGAATTTTCAACCGAGCCTCCCAAGTAAGATATCCATGATGATGCATCTCTCCACGGAGCCATTGCTCTAGATTGCCATTATTTACATACTCGTACACCAATAACCTGAATTTTTATGCCAAATAATTGACAGAGGACATGAATTCCAAACATATGAAAAGCCATATGGAAAATTCTGCTTGATTCTTCGAACCATATTTACTAAGTTCGGTTGGTTAAATGGTTATTCCAGATTTTCTTGATATATTCTCAAGGCAATTCATTTATTGTCCCAAATAAAGAGGAAACATACCTCTGGGTTCCTTCAATGCAGTACCCTAGGAGTCGAACTAAGTTTTTATGGCGCACATGCCCAATAGCTTCAACTTCCACTCTAAAATCTTTGTCAACCTGGCCTCTACAGGTAAAAGATTAAATTCTTATCAAATATAATTAATTGCTGTGTGGATAAAGAAGGAAACTCATTGGTAACTCACGGATTGTTGAGTAATTTCTTGACAGCCACAGAAGTCCCGTTAATCAGATTGCCTTTATAAACAACTCCATATCCACCATCACCAATAATATTTTCTTTTGAGAAACGATTGGTTGCAAGCTGAAGATCTCGCAAAGTGAACCAGTGACCCCAGCCCAAGTGTGAAAACTCAGGCAGACCAGACAAAGGTGAAGGAGCAGTGAAGGGATGAGCTGAAGAGCGATAAACAGCAATTGTTCCCCTGTCCCCTTCTTCACCCAGTTGAGTCCCTAAAACATCCTTCTCTACATTATTAAATGAACCTGATTGACTGCTATGATCACCATTTTCTAAGTTAATCAAGGCCTTCTCGGGTTCATTTTCGCTAAATTTATCATTAAGAGTGTGAAAGCCACCATTATTGGACAAAACTTGATCAACACTTATATCTTTAATTTCCTCTGGAACACTGGGTATTTGACTCACCGGTAGATTATCATTAGCCCGTCTTGATTTCTTTCGAAAAGTAAGCCATACGGATATGCCAAGGATAACTACAAAAACTACGCCCAGACAGAGCACAATTAACACCCACAGCTGCAGACCTATGTAAGTCTTGGACAGAGTTCGGTTGAGATCTGATGCCATTTTCTATTGGCACCAAAGCACCTGCAAAGCAGATAAAAAGGTAATTGAACCCCACAATTCCATGTGCTAAATAACTCCAAAATTTCAAACAATGAACCTTGAATTCTTGAGATCAAGTCATTTGAGCAAATAAAAACATTTTCTTCACCCTAAGGACAACTGCAATCAAAATAAATGCTGAACAAGTTCCTGAAGAAACCCACATCCGGTAATGGAATAAACTGAAGGGGAAGCACAGAAATTCCCCATTAAGCAAGTACAAGCCTCGAGGACTTACAAAGTTTCATTTCTAAAACCAACCACAAGCAAAAATTATACATATCATAACCAAATAATGATTAAGCAAACAAACAAAAAGATCAAAACTTCAAATGTTCGTTGAGGATAATAAACTAGTCATCAAGATTGACGAACAAGGAAAGAATCTGAATCGATCACAAACAAACCTGACCGTGAGCCTCCACCTCTTCCACGCTCTTCCTTTTAAGAATATGAAACGAAACGAAAGTCAAGCCCTAAGGTTGCTTGCAAACGGAACCCCAATAACCCGTGTTCACAGTGAAGCTCACCTAGATGAGCAGCATTGTCAAAATCCTAACCGTATTAATATGTAAGGCATCTCCGTAGTGTTTCCAAGTCTGGGTTTTTTCTTTTTTTTTTTTCAAAAAAGGGGCTGCGGGCAGAAGATGTGGAGTTGTCAGTGGTAGGTAGCGAGGAAAGATGTACCGTACCTACATTACATTTGAGAAAAAAACATGGAAGGTTTCTTCGCTGTTTCTTGAAAAAAAAAATGAATTTTTTAAAGTAAAAAATGAATCTTTTCAAGTAATATTTCGTATCTAACTGGGGACATGAGAGTTGACAATAATCAGAAACTGGATTGAATAAAGCATTTAAAAAAATCAGGAACTGTTTGCGGTTTGTGGGTCATTTTCTTTTTCCTTTTTGTTTATAAGTAGAAGAAATTGCTTTCTGTATTTAATAAACCAGATTAGTTTGATGAATGTGGGTTGTATTCAGTCAACATGGTTCTTGAGAATGTATATGCAGTACACCCAATACTCTTTGAATAATCAAACTCCATTGTCAATATTGATAGTACACTGGATCCATAAAAGTATATTATTCGTGGGTTTTATTAAACAATTAGCATTCCTGTTGTTTCGGTTGTGATGAAATGACAGTATAACTTAATTAGTTGACTGACTGTATGACATTCTACAAAAAACAAAAAAACAAAAGAAAAAGAGGAAGAACAGAGATTGAGTAAGTTTAATTTTGGAGTGCCATGATTTCCTCATCATGTGATGAGTGTTTGTATCTGCACTTTGACAGATTTTGCTTCATTAGTTTGCTGTTGGAAGTCATGTCAGAGAGACATTCATGCAGCAACACAAAACTCTTTGGATCTTTTAGATCCCAACTCAAGGAACACATAAAATTACAGGTTATTACTTATATATATATGTGTGTGTGTGTGTTTATGTTAGACAAGGTTAGTTGCAGAGGAATATATACATATATATATATATATATAGTAGATGTTAGTTTGGTTTGGTTGTTTATGTAAGAAGTGAAAATGGAATAATCAACTAATCCAACAACATTAAGCTGTCAAACTTGTTTGTGTTGTCTTGTATTTATAATTGTTTTGCTAACTAACAATCTTGGACTCTTTTGCTAATCAACCATACATATCTTTTTCTATAGATTTCATTTCAAAACAAACACAATGACTACCCTCTATTAACTTTGTTATAGATGCATACATGTGCATGTATATATATACATATATATATATATATGTAAATATGTATGTACATACATTTGATTCTAGAACCCAGTAGGCCCAAAACTTAACTTGGCCCAACTACTACTCTTCCAACCCAAGACACAAAAGACTTACTATTCATTTCACAAACATAATGACTACCCCTCTATTAACTTTGTTATAGATGCATACATGTGCATGTATATATATATATATATATATATATACACACACACACATATATGTATGTACATACATTTGATTCTAAAACCCAGTAGGCCCAAAACTTAACTCATCCAACCCAAGACATAAAAGACTTTGGGGTGATCTCACTATTCATTTCACTTACCAACTAGTAATATATATATATATATATATATATGTATGTATGTATATGTCTCTTTCAACAAACAATAATACATAAAATCATTAACATATAATACATAATTGAAAAATTTTACCATTTTTTAAAAAAAAGGACATATTTGAAGAATCATTATTTTAGATTCTCCAATTCTTTAAAAAAAAAAAAATTATTTTTTAATAATTTAAATAAAATTGTAGTATTACACGGTCGGCTGTACGATTGAACATGAATCACAGCCGTCGGATCAAAAATCAACCGACGCCTCAGATTTTTACGGGTATTACCCGACGCCACACAATCGGGTTAAAACAGAGGCCCATATTCATATCATGTTTTCTTGGAGGCTCACGTTATGTGTATTATAATATCCTTCGGTACCAACACCTTCTTCTCTTCTTGTTTACTTCTTCACAGAAAAACTGCACTCAATTCATCGATTCCTTCGCCATTTATTAATTACTCAACCACTTCCATTCATACCAAACTCCTTCCATGGTTTAAATCCTTCAGATTCACATCTCCCCTCCCCCTTATTGATCTCCAGGTAAAAACCCCATTCTTCCTTTTCACTCAATTCTCCTCCGCGGATCAGATCAATACCTGCATTTCACTCCACTATCCTTTTTACATTATTACCTTCATATATATGACAGCTTTTCGCCCCTTTTCTTTTTTCTGAATTTTCAATATCTGCTAATTCTTTTTTCCTTTCGTTGTCGGTGTGTTAATCAATCTCGAATTTGTTGGTAACGATACTTGTACTATCACTTTCATTTCCTTCTTTTGCTCACCTTCTGTTGTCTTACTCGACTTACGCTTCTTTTTATCTATGTTTCTATTGTTTCAGTTTGTTCGATTTATAAGATCTTTTGCTCCTCTCTTCTTCTCTACAGGGGATTAGTCCCACAAGGGCGTGCGTCATCGTTTGTCTCTTTGAGAACCTGTGATGGTTGGGGAGATTAATTTGCCTTTTGGGTTTAGATAATTGCGTCAAGTTTGTTGGGCATTTTGGATTTCAGTTGGAAAGCCTACTGTTGCTATGGATATGATATAGTCAAGTAGGGGAAAGTCATCAATTACACTGAGGGAAGCCTTTTATTTCATTTTATACATTTTTCTTACGGTTGAAGGAAAGAGCAAGCGAAAATGATCAGCAAGCCGCTCGTCTTGACTTATCTCTACTTACTGATCTACATTTTGCTTTCCTCGGGAGTTATATTGTATAACAAGGTAATGCCCATTTTGATGTTCAACTTTATTTTTTCTTGTTTTCTTTTTTCTTATCTTAGTTGGGGTCCCTTTAGGGTTGAAGTAAAGCGTGGTACTGTGGAATGTAGTGCTTCAGTTCTTGTTGGACTTAGAATTTCTCACGTATTAATTTGGAATTTCAGAACATGTTATCACATTTCATTTGGTTTGTGATCTTTGTGCAATGTGTACCGCACATTTATTATGTATTCTGAGCATGGAAAGATGATATCTTTGTGAAAGATGTGTTTTAGTCATCAGTGGAGAAGACAGCTAAATACTGTAAATGGATAACGGATTTAGCCAAGAGAAAGAAAGAAGGTATAGATGATACTGGAAAAGATTGAGGGATAACTAAAATATACTATTCCTCTGTAATTATCATGTTTTTCATGCAGGTGAGTCTAATGTGGAGCTGTAGTTTTCAGCTTTGGCCATCAATCAGGGGATTAATCAAAATGTGATTATATTTTATTGCAGTGGGTTCTATCTCCGAAATACTTTGATTTTCCATTTCCTATTACGCTTACAATGATTCATATGGGGTTCTCTGGAGTAGTGGCCTTTTTTCTTGTACGTGTACTCAAGGTATGGCTTCCTTAGAGAAATAACTTATTTTCTTCAGATATATTATCTGTCCCTTATTGATAGATGTATCTGTTTCTATGTCTACCATCTACCCTGCTAATGTCTTATAATTATTGGTTGGTCTCACACTTAAAACAACATATTTGGCTTCTTGCTCGGCGAGCCATGTGCAAATGTGTGGCGTGTACCTTTTAAAACACATTATGTTTAAATTGCATGAGCAAAATGCCACTGACACTTCTATTCCTAAAAGTACTTTGTCGCCCTTTATATTGCTTAAGGTGTGATATAGTTTCTGCACTTATGCAGGTTGTATCTCCTGTCAAAATGACATTTGAAATGTGAGCTGGTCATTCATCTTTAATTTTTTCTCTTAGCTTTTATTTTTTAAATTTATGCTACTCAGTTTTTCCTAATTCTTATCTCCTAAGTAATTCTCTTGTTTCAACAGATATGCAACATGTGTAATACCGATAAGTGCCTTCTTTGCATCAAGCCTTTGGTAAGTCCTTATTTCATAGGACTAAACCTTTCATTCCATGGCTTGTATCATTTGCTAATCATCAGGGTACTGCTTTTTGCTCATTATTAGAGATAAATGAACCTTAGTATTTCTTGTTAGCTCTAAGTTGGTCTTCTATTCCATTCAGATGTTCTGATAACAAACTATTGGGCAATCACCTCGTTGGATCAATTTACTGATATTTTGGTTTTGATTTATGGGTGAAGGAATTAATTGTTATCAGGATTTTAAAAAGTTATGCATGTTAAAAATGGAAGGAGTGCAAGATGCATGCATTCACCTGTTTCTCACTATAAAAATGCTTAATATGCATCAACTTGCTGCATTTTAGTTTCCTGTTCCACACTGTCCAAGTGCTCTTTTCTATTTTCATCTTCACAATTTAGAGTTTACGAATTGTATTATTCTTCTGTTTTATCCTTCTGCATGCTGTGTTTAGACCGCTCTAGCGAGCGATGCCATCTGTTGAAAAAGGTCTGTTTTTTTTTCTAGAGAGTTCAGATTTGTTAGTTGTCAACAAAATTTTGGTGATGAAATCATTATAACTTGTCTTGGTTTTTTAGTGGCTTTGATTCATAGAGATTTTCTATACTATAAATATTAATAATGCTCATTAGAAACAATATTATGACCACTTATATTTTTGTGTTCTTTCAGGTTTGGTAACACTGCTTACTTGCACATTTCTGTGGCATTCATCCAGATGCTGAAAGCCCTAAGTATGTCAAATAAAAGCTTGTGTGTTTTGTTTAACTTCACGATAATGCCTCTTAATAACTATAAGTGTATGGTTATATTTGAATTTGGATTTTACAGTGCCTGTAGCAACTTATCTCATGGCTGTTGTGTGTGCCACTGACAGTCCAAGGTGTGATCTCTTATTAAACATGGTGCTGGTCAGTGTTGGAGTTGTTGTTTCCTCATACGGGGAAATTCATTTTAATGTAGTTGGCACAGTTTACCAAGTTACTGGCATCTTTGCAGAAGCTCTTAGGCTGGTCTTGACTCAAGTTCTTCTGCAAAAGAAGGGCTTGACGTTAAATCCAATAACCAGCTTATATTACATAGCCCCATGCAGGTACAATTTCTTTCTACTTTTGCGCTCATTTTCTTTAGAAGAGAAAGTGAAGTTAAGGCCACCTCTGAAATCTTTTATTAGTGAACGGAGCTTGTTTTCTTTAGAAGAGAAAGTGAAGTTAAGGTCACCTCTGAAATCTTTTATTAGTGAACGGAGCTTGTTTTCTTTAGAAGAGAAAGTGAAGTTAAGGCCACCGTCTGAAATCTTTTATTAGTGAACAGAGCAAGAGGCTACAGTTCTGCTATGAAATAAATGTCCCTTTACCAAAGATAAATTTCTGTTATCTATGTTGTTTCTGGGCTTTATCAAATGTTTTTGCATTCTTCACTTTATTCCCAGTACATGTTTTGCGATGGCATGACTTAATTGATTTCAATGAGCTAGATTCACTGAGGAAATCAAACAGTCGATGTTTGATTACTGTTTCCTGGTTTACGAACATAGAAATTAACTATGTTTACTTTCCTGTTGATACTGTTATCTGAACTCTTTTGCTATACAACACCTCTTTATCAAGGAACTGCTAGATTATATTTATAATAGCCTGTAAGGAGGATTATTAGATGTGCCCGTGCTTAAAATTCTCATATGTTCATGCTTTACCATGTGCAGTTTTGTGTTCCTTTTTGTGCCATGGTATTTACTTGAGAAACCTGCAATGGAAGTTTCCCAGATTGAATTCAATTTTTGGATCTTCTTCTCCAATGCTCTCTGTGCTTTGGCCTTAAATTTCTCCATATTCTTAGTAATTGGGAGAACTGGTGCAGTCACCATCAGGGTTGCTGGGGTTCTTAAAGACTGGATTCTGATAGCCCTTTCAACTGTTGTATTTCCAGAGTCCACAATTACTGGGCTGAATATAATTGGCTATGCAATTGGTACTTTTTCATATGATTTCCGAAATATTTACGATAACCACAACTTCCTCATTTTTTCTCACTTCTTTTTTAGTTCAAAAAGCTTATCACAATGCATTTTCACCCTGCAGCACTTTGTGGTGTTGTAATGTACAACTACCTAAAGGTTAAGGATGTTCGGGCATCACAATCAACTTCTGAGAGCATTCCAGATAGGATAACAAAGGTCAATCATCTCATTTATTTTCAAGTTCTTATCCGAAATATCTTTTGCTGGATATAGGCTCTACGTTTCTAAGACCATGTAATAAGTTGGTTTTGACAGCACTATGCTTTCCTATCAATCAAAGTTTCTAAGGGTGGTCCAAAATCTGCAACCCCCCTAATATAGATTGTGAAGATCATATCACAATTTCCCTGCATTTATGGGTATTTGTATCAGTAAATGAACTAGTAGCAGAAAATTATAAAGTTTAGGTGACTTTTGGTACAATTTGCTGAACTTCAAAGGTTATTTCATGCAAATGGAGATGGCTGTAAAGGTTTGGCAATCTGTTTGCTTGGATTTGTCAAAAGAGTATTCGGGGTTATTGGAGAAGGAATTGTAATGGAGTTTATTTGCTTCTTTTGTATCTATTGAAATGTATTCATGTCAATCTTTTCCTTCTGTGTTCTATTTAACCAAAACACTGTACCAGCTTTCTCAAATGTTCTTAGAGTCTGACGTCTAGATGGGCTATTACAGGATTGGAAGCTGGAGAAGAAGTCGTCCGATATATTTGTGCCTAATCACGGGGGTGACAACAATGGAGGAAATTTTGCTACTTCCGAATTGAATGTTGATGAAGAAGCACCTCTGATTCCATCTGCAACACGGCTATCGCATATTGGGCGGACACAACTTAATCACACGGCATAGTCGATGAGAGTCCAAGTATAGATGATGTTAAGTGACTTATTATTTGTCTGGGAAAACGAACGAGAAATGGGGAGGAAGCGGGTCCAAATGCATCTTGGTTCATCATATTTCAATGGAAGATTTTTCTTTTGTTTTTTGTTTTTTTTTTTTTCTTTTCTTTTCTTTTCTTTTCCAATGGAAGGAATAGATATTTACTTCAAGCCCATGAGCAATTGAAGTGTAACTCCTGGCAATTTGTTGAATGTGCATGCCTTAGTTTTTCCTGAATGATAGTTCAGGACTGATTTTTAGGTGATCGAGCTTAGAGCAAGTACAAAGAATGAAGTTGATTCTGGGCAATTTTATTGATTGTGAGGGAGTTTATTTTCTTTCTTCTCATTTATTCATGGAGGTCCAAGCAGTTGAATTCATACATAAACAGCTGAAAGTCTTTTTGTCTTGGCAATTTCTCTTAAATCAAAGCTGTAACCAATTTGTGTGTCTTACTAATTTAGTAGGTAAAAATTAGCTTTTGTCTAATGGTTGATGGAATCAACTTAATAACTTCAATGTAACGATAATGAAAATAACAGTATCATACTTTAATGCTGTTTTCATCTATTCAACTTTAGGAAGCATTTTTGAAATATGAAAGAATTGCTTCAATACGATCTTCAAATTTGATTAACCTGCTCTTTTAGATGTTCGAATAATGTAGCAAATGTTGTATTAGTATTGGTCTGACAGTAGAATCTTGATGATACTGTCCAAATAAAATAGCCTAAATACTGATTACAGGCACTGAATACTAGTTTAATTATCTTCGTCGGCATCAATATAAACGATTAAAGAAGTTTACATTCAAAAAACACATGCCAATATGAACAGAGACTCTTCAAGGTATTAGTTATAACTGCTGCTGCCTTGGCTTGAGATATCACAATACTTACCCTCATTTAGAAGTCCAAATTGGTCAGAGTACATTATGTTGCCCTCCGCAGGCATACCAAAGGTTTCTTATTAGACCCCTAGCAAGACAATGGCTTTTTCAGTAAAACCAAACAACTTCATAACCATTCTCTGCAGCTTATTCGGTCTACTTAACCCCGTAATGATTTACAATAAACAAATACCTGTTAGTTTACTATGTAAGAATATAGTGAATTGTGCATACATACAATAATAACCGTAAAAACATCCCAAAGCCGAGTATATTATTCTCTTTCTAACATTACAACAATCTTGAATGGTAACAAGAAAAAAGAAAACATGGCATCGTATTCAAAACAATGGAAAGCCTGCTCGCATATCATTTACACAATACCACAAACAAGATATGCACATAATAGGTGAGAAGGAATAAATAGGAAAGGAAAGGAAGAGCCGATAGATGCCCACAAACAGTTGTATTTTCATCCAGACAGCCATCTCTTAGAATACACACCATAAAAATTGGACTCCTAAACATAATCATCAGAAAAGTTCAGTCTACTGAAAAGGCTCTGGAGTTCTTAGATATAACAGCCTCCTTGCTGGAGCAGGTGGTGCCAATCCAGGAATGTCCCGGATATCCTTGTTATTGGGGTTGACAATCTGCAAGTTTAATCATTGCAATTAGATATATGATTGGTGCTCGGGTGTGTATATATGAGCATGCGTCAAATCAGATAGCAGAGGCACTGTATGCCAAATTTTACGTCCATTTTCTTTCTGTTTTTCTTTTTCTCAGTTAATTTTTCCATTTTTCTTATTCTTCCCAAGGCACAAGTTAAAGCTAGGTTTTCGACAATTCTTTATTCATCAAAAGCATCTCAGCTTATTCGGCCCCCAATATCCGACTATTATGTGCACTCTCTCTCTCTCCTTTTCCTCCCTCCGTCTCCTCCCTTCCATTAAGAAGATTTACTCTAATGTGAGAGAGAGAGAAATTATTCTGCTTTGGATCCCTTTGGTTCATCATTTCCCGAAAAAATTGAACATCAAATATTGACAGCAAAAGTTATGCAGAATACCTTCACAATAATAATGGCTATTACACCACAGACAATGAGAAAAAGAAACAGCATTATGCACTTATCTGTAGCCACCTGCAGAGAAGAAAAGGCGACAGAAACAGACCTACTTAGACTACTTAAAAAAGCATGAAACCGGAATAACATATTGAAAGCCAATTAGCAAAGACTACTACTAACCTGCCTCCCGATCTCCTTCACTAGCTGGGAGGCCTTCTTAATAGAGAACTGAATTGTGTCCAGCTCATTAACAATGCGGCCCATTTGTTCAGTCTGCACAGTTAGGGATCATATATTGACGACAACAATTATGGCAAGAAAAGTAGAAACTAAACTTGCATGACCACTAATCCTACTTACTTGGCCCTTCAAGGTAGAAGCCGTTTGAGTTCCCACTTCCACTGTTTGTTGAACGACCTACAAGTCAAAGTGGAGAAGTAAGAACAGAAAGCACAAAAACACAAAGTAACATGTTCAGATATTCACTTACCTGTTTAGAGCGTTCTATTGCCTGGTCGGTTTCATCCATCCTCTTCATCCCAGCATTTATAAGTTCTTGATTCGACATGGCTAACAAGCAGGCAAACAAATGGAAACTAAGGGCAATGAGGGTTTTCTTTTTACTTTGGAATGTTTCATAAAATTAGTCATAAAAGAAGTCATCATGGTGATTGATACTATAGACTTTTGGTAACTTCAACCAATTCTTTAAATACTACATCACTACCCAAACAAACTTAAAAATTCAGTTTACCTTTCTGTCAGCCGAGACTACTGATGTATTATCTATTTATTTAGGTTATATTTGAAAGAAACTAAGAATTTTTGTAGAATTTATTTCTACACCTAGTTTGACTAAGTGAGAATGAAAGTTGATCTAACACAATAAAAATTGAATCATACAGAACTCCAAGTAGAATCGAAAATATGAATCCCAAAGATAAACTTTGATGATCTTTACAACAAATTGTTCTAATCCTACTTAAGACTTTCCCTTGAAGCTCATTTTTTTTTTTTGGTTTTCTAATATAATTTGTATCCTACCTAGTTAAACTATGTGTAGAGACTTCTGATCTATTAATATTATCTTTTAAATGGGATGTCCAAAATCTTTTCAAAAAATACTATTCAAATTGCATTTTGTTTCCTCCAACCGCAAATGTCACCACTTTTGCAAGGTCATACATCTTTCAAGATTACGATGTCATGCAACACCATGCTTATATCCTTAATAAGTACCCACTCCTAATTACTTCTGAATATCAAGGAAATCAGTTTTATGTTCTAGATGAGTCTACAGGTGAAAGGAAAAATATGCAGGACTGGTCAGGAATGTCAGAATTTAAAGACAACTATATTTGATGCAAGAGCAACTAATGTCTACATAAACAATCCAGAGAAAACCAGATATGCTTCTAGATCAATAGATGACCAAAAATAACAGAGGAATACATTTGAGACGAAGTGGCTATAGATCTGACCAGAGTTAAGATCTTACATGATGCCACTTGAACATTGTCATTAGCTGTTGGTTCACTTACTCCTGCTCCCATATCGAAAAGTTCAACTTTCTTATTGCCAAGGCTATTCATAAACCTGAAGTTACACAAAATAGAATCAGAATATCATAAAAACGGGTTGATGGAAACAGCAAGCTGATTAATTTAGAGCTAAATTTTACTGCTAAGAAATTTGAGATGCTTCTCTAAATTGTGTGCCTATCTGTGGAAAATAAAGCCAAACTTGAACATAGTCTTCATTCTTATATCCAATAAGAATGCCTTGGACTAAAATAAGAAACAGTCCATTCAAGAACTTACGTTTTTCTCAATGCCACATAAGAATTCAGCTCTTTGATCTGTAAAAATAAAGGACAACAATAGAAGACAGATGTTATACACTTGTTTCAGAAGAAAGCTGTTGAGTGCAAAGAGATGACAACCATTCTTTTTGGGAGTGTTGGGGGTTGTTCAGGATTAGGGAGAAAGGTAAGAGTTGTCCGCACAAGTTGACAAGAAGGCCACTATTTTCCTGCTCATTTAGTTGGTGTGGAATACTAAAACTAAAACACAATTGATGAGGAAAAGGGGACAAATCAGAACGTGCAGCAAAATAAAGCCCCTAAGAAATGGTTGGTGTCATCTGATAATTGAACATTATGTTTTATAAACTAAAAATTGTGGAACACATTTATTTCCACTAAAAGATGTTCACTTTTTCCCCATTTAAAGCGGTGTCTGTCAAAGGTGGTTTAAAACGCTCAAGTTTTGATGCAATAATTTCTACCAAGAATTTTAGCTTCATAAAAAAAGTTAAGCTTTAAACTGCATACAAAAAGCTGTGGCATATATTTCAGTTCTCACCAAAAGATCTGCAACTAACAAAAAGGTTCGCATTTTGTTTTTCATTGATGTTCTGGTTCATGCAAAACATAGAAATTTATTGAAAATTCTGAAAGTTAATTTCATTCATGTTTTCCCCAATGCAACAGAAGAATCAAACAAAGCCACCCCCCCAAGCTAAGGGATATCCAATAATCAGTAGACTTCTAAATATCCAATACCAGTAAACAAAATGAACGTTTCAATAATGACGTCATGGGTACATTCAAATCCATGCCAAAACACGGGAAAAAAGGATGTTTCAAAAATTACCATAGATTGCTTCTCATCATTGAGTTGCTTATTTACTTCAGGAGGATTTTTACCTTCCTCATCTTTAAGTTCACGATCAAATTCTTTAATCAATCTGAAACAAGTTATTACATGTAAGATTTAATACCTTGAATATCTGAAAAGCACATGAGATATTCAAAACAGCTAAAAAAACTAGCTCGAGGTTTTTTGTACCTAACTGGGTTGTTCAACTCTCCGTATCACTTAGCATATACATGAAAACACGTAGTGAAGGGGTAAAAACAGATGGAAGATGGATGGCAAAGATGAGAAAGAAGGATGACAGGAGGCGGGTAGGAGAAACGGTGAATTACTCATGTGTTAAATATGGTACAATTCCTCACTAAAAAATCTCAAGAGCTCAACCAAACTCAACGGCTGGAAAAACCTAGGCTTTCATCAATAAAAAAGTCAATGGATGGATAGAAACTGTAAAATTCTAGCTTACTATGATTTCCTCCTTTGTGGGATTAAACTTTGTTGTGTCACCTATACAAATAAGTGCAGTATTGAAAAAAAATACGAGTAGAAAAAGGTAAAAGTCTCTGGAATACCTTTTACACTCCCTCATCTTCCCAGTAAGTTCCTCCAGCTGTTTGCTTTGTCTGTTGGAATCCTTGATCTTATCCAGTCTCTGGAATCCATTTCTGGATCAAATAGGCAAAAGTCTTAAAATTTGTACCACTATCATTTCAAAGCAGTATCCAGAAAACACTTAGACAAGAATAGGTATATTGCCACCCTCCCCTTACAGCACACAAAAGAATGAAACAAAAGAGAGATAGAGAGAGAGAGATCTTATCCCATTGCTGACAATTCATGAAATACCGACACAGATTTAACAGATTTACTGACAATTTTTGGGGGAGGGGGGGAAGGTTATATATATGTTATTGAAAGTACAAACTCAACCCTTTGATCTCCTTCTCAATCCAGCCCATATGCAGAATTCCGAAGTACATATTACGTTGCCAGCAATTAAAAAAATCAGGTTCTGCTACAGTCTCGCTGATCTTTGCTATTCACAAAACTGACCAAGAAATATTTGACTTATCTTAAAGAAGTAGACGACTGAATTACAGGAAGAATCAATCAAAACAAGAGCTAGTATATTCAGATTGATTGGTTAACTCGGAATATCATGTCAATGTGCCATGATATCAAAGATCTATAGCTCAAAGAAACTAGTTTGTTCAGGTCGAGTAGTCTTATACTGAATTTGGAGTGCCATGTGTCGTGCAAATATGGATGAAGCCAACTAATTATAATGCGTTGTGGCATCAACAACCTATAGTTTTAAGAAACTATTCAGGTCGAATAGCAATTACATAAACTTGGGGTTCCATGTCATGTGTTTATTTTAATAACCAACAAACAATAACGCACCAACGTATCAAAGACCTAAAATCAACTCAGCATATTTGAATTAAATAAATCTGCGGATATCTGATACTATAGGATGTTCTATAAGTTTCTTCTAGTTTCGCAGGTTGGTCTAATAAAGATTAGGTGTGAAGTTAACAACAAACAAACACGTAAATAAAGTAATTTGTATGACACGAAAAAGAAAAAGAAGTACCACATAATGAAATATGTAAGAATTCCAAGTTGCGATAAATAAGATTGCAAGGAAAAGTCTCCAGAAAATAATTGGGTAAAAGAAAAGCCAGGGCTTTAACAAGGAAACGCAAAAAAAGGGATTAACGGAAGGGAACATACGCAAGAGCTCGGAAATTGTCGCGAATTTCACCGTGAATCTGCTCCAACTGAGGGCTCATAGGCAAGTCAGACGCCATCGTCGCCGGCGGAGTAGAAATCCCGGCAGAGATGATTCGTCGAGGAATTGACTGGAAGCTTAGGTCACCGCATTGAAATGCCTTGAATCTCTCTCTATCCTCTGGTTTTGTTGTTTGAGGAAATAAAACCCTAAGGAAAGTGGACGTAGAAAAGGAAAATGTAGAATTAACAGAAATTGCAGAGAGGAATTGAGACGTACGAATGGAAGAGATGTAGATGTTGGGTGGGTGGTAATAGATCTTTATTGTTAATTAATAACAAAGTTGAATCAGAGAAAAAAAGAGGGATTTACCAGTGCAGACTCACCTGGCTTCTTCTACAGGAGTTTGTTTGGCATAATCGGATCTGAGGAATTAAATGATAAAAATTATAATATTTATAGTAATAAGTATTTTGTGTGTGTTAATTATTGTTTTTATTATTATGTTGTTTGTCCCTAAAAAGGAGAAACAAGTAAAGTTGGGCGATGAAGACACTTCAAGGTGACAGTCCAAAATTTTATTGATATTTTAATTGTGTTGTTTTGTGAGAGAATGTTGGGATTAATATATATATATATATATAGAAAGTTGAAATTTAAAAATGAGAAAGAAAAAAATAAAAAGAGTTGTTGGATTAGGCCTCCTTGTACAATGATGACGCTGGGGGAGCGAACTTCGGTATATTCACAAGCAAAACTAAATTTTCCTAATGAAATTGGGTTTTTCTATAGTTGCGAAATCCGATCTATTATGAGTCTAGGTCCTCACCCATAAGTACAGATGGTTTGTACCTTTCTATTAAGAATTACATGGCGTCATCCGACCAATGACATTGGGAGGCCTTGCATTGGGTGTTACCGATGGAAACACTGCTTCAGATAGTTGCGATACCGGCCCCTAGAGATGACATTATCTCGGACTCCTGCTTTTGGAATATAACGAGCTCTGAGTGTTTTTTAATTAGCTCGGCTTGCGCTCTCCTGAAGAGTGATCATTGGCACCCGGATGATAGAAATTGGAGAGACATTTTGCATTGGTCAGGAGCTCAACGGTTGCATACGTTCTTTTGGTTGGTTGCTAAGGGGAAAATCTTGACAAATTGGGAGAGATACTGACGTCATATGTCCTCTACTGCATAGTGCAGTAGGTGTGGAGACCCTATTGAGGATGTGGATCATGTTTAGAGCATGGCTAAACTGCTGTGGTTGAAGATCATACCTGCTAAAGCCCATTCAATTTTTTTCTGTTGTACTATTGACGAGTGGTTCGTGCTGAATCTCAAAAATAACTTACCATGGTGCAAGGCAGTTCAAAATTAGAGAGTAACATTTGGCTTTATTTGTTGGAGCTTGTGGAACCATAGGCTCTTCGAGAATGTATCACTTTGGGAATTCCAACAATTTCTTTAATCGATACAAATTGTGATCCCGATCTCGCAGATATTTCGATTCCAGCAAATGATGACGCCATAGCTTCAATTCGATTAATTCTTAACAAATTAGTATTCGCAATTTGTGAGGGTCATTCTAGCTATATACAAAATTCTTGATTAATAATAAGATAAATAATTTTTTTGGGGGGAGGGGACTCCCTAGATTTATGGAATCGGTTACTACTCCCGAATCTCACAAAAGAGAAAGAGATAAAAAAAACTGTGGATATTATGTGATTACTTTAGTTGATATCCAAAAAACCAAAAGTTTGTTTTCCAAGAGAGCAAGAGTAACATCGATGAGCTTGCTAAGAATGTGTTCCTCATGACTTATTATATTTTTATGGATAATAATATGAGTCTTTACTTTTTTTTTAAATATGGTGCACAGATCAGAAGAACTTGTTACTTGACAAAAACCTCATAAGGTTTGGTGGAAGGTGAACACTAATGGTACTTATTGTGCGACTACCAACCTCGTTTGTCGTGACATACTTATTAGGAATGAGGATGGTGCCTACTTGAGAAGCTTTAACAGGAAGATTGGCAAATGTTCTGTGCTTTATGTTGAATTTTGGGGTGCTCTTGATAGCTTTCAACTTGCTTGGTATGTTGGATTTCGTAATATTATCTTAGAAATGAATAGTGTTTTGGTAGTGCAGTTAATTACTAAGGAAGATCACGGCACTAATGCGTATGTCGTTCTTGTTAGTAAAATCAAACACTTACTATTAAAGAACTAACATATCAGAATCCAATATGTCTATCGCGAAAGAAATAGATACGTTGATTGGTTGGCAAATGTCAACTTCTCTCTATCGATGAACCTCTATTCTCATGTTTCGATGTCAAATGATCTCCAACAGCTTTTCACTGATAAAATCATAGGTGTCTCCTGATTCCGGATGTGCACGACAATCTTTTAATTTTCTTTTTAATTTTTAACTCTCTTTATACCAATAAAAAAAAAAAGAAAATGATATGATAGGTGAGAAAGTGGAGAGAGAATGAATCAAGTGCAATTATTGAAGGAAATATAATTGCCAACCTTCTAAACCAGGGAATTTAAGTATGATGATGACCCAAATTTCTCTCTATAATAATTGCCACCTTACAATTCATACATATATTTTTAAAAATAATAATAATAATATGATGATGATATAATATATGTATTACTTGTGGAGATGAAGCAGGCCAAACTTCCAAATGGCAGCCCTAACCTTACACGTATTAGAGTTTTGTTTATTTACAGGAATCAAGCAACGGAAATAACTCTCTTTTGTCTCCATCCCATTTTGGGTTAACCACCGTACCCATGGTTGAAGATCTAACCATAGTTACACACAAGAGGCCCTGCTTTTCTACATCCACCTGTCAGTATTATCCAACACCACCACCAGACGGACGCCCCTCCCTCGGACGTTCATTATATAAATATTACCACCCACCCAAAATTTAATTTCTCTGTTTTTATTTGATTTGGCTGTAATCTCTATGTCAGTTGGGCATTTCGAGACGTGCGTTCCCTTTTTCTTCTCCTATTTTTGCATGCTCTTTCTCCTCTGCTTTACTCGTTGTCGACAGGCTAATTCCCGCTCCGCTCTGCTCTTCTGAATGGCGGCTAAGAAGGCCTGCGAGTCATTCTCCAAGACCTTGATCGAGGAGGTCCATAGATGGGGATGCATGAAGCAGACTGGGGTCAGCTTGAGGTACATGATGGAATTCGGCTCCAAACCCACTCACAAAAACTTGTTAATTTCTGCTCACTTTCTCCACAAGGAGTTGGCCATTAGAATTGCAAGGAGAGCTATCGAGCTCGAGCGCCTCCCATACGGCTTATCTGCAAAACCTGCTGTCCTTAAGGTACACTCCTTTCTTTTTTTTATCTTTCCCAATTTCAATTCTGGGATTTTGGTTTTATTTTTTTTTTATCGGAGTTGCTGCTGTGAAATCGAGCTTGGTTTGTCTTGGATTTATTTATTAATTATTTTTTAATAATTTTCGTTTCACCCATGAGTAAAAAAGCAGAACTGGTAAATGTTTGACCAAAGCTTCTTTTTATAAGATTTTTGGCGCTGAGTTTTCTATCAAGTAATCTGTTTTAGTTCAAGCGTTCTGATTTTCTTAAACATATGCGTTCCATAACTGTGTTAACTTTTCTTAGACCTGTTGCTTGGAATCTTTCCTGTAGCAATTGGATATCCATGTGTAAAGCCAACTGTGCTGCAGATTCTTTTAAGCTCTTTTGGTTACTGAGAAAACTCTTATACGTTATCTTCATTCTTTTTTAACCATAAAAAGTAATGATTTGTTCGAATCGCGGGATGCATGTAGGGAAACCACTGTTCCTAAGCAACCTTAAGTGCTAAAACCTCTTTTATTTTGCTCATTCTTTGGTTTTTCAGGGGCAATTGAAGTGCTTTCTTACATATGTCTGTCGAATTATATCTATAACTGGGTGTGATAAGCTTCTTTTATACATATATGTATAATATACATATATTTTTCCTTTCCTAAGTCTCTTCATTAGGTTAGCATTTATCTCTTGCGTGTTTCTATTTCATTTCTTTCACGTGTCATGTATTTGAAAATGGGTAGTGGGATCAGTTTATTTGAGTAAGTTGATTTTAGCTTATTTTGTTCTTTCTGAAAAGTTGTTTTGATTTATTTGCTTGTTTCTTCACATGATGAATTCATGGCTGAATCTTTCAAGCTTTTGCAGCGTATGCTCATGTTACATCAATTTTTTTTTGCATTCTTAGGTCAGAAACTGGTACTTGGATTCGTTCCGTGACCTGAGATCCTTTCCTGAGATCAAGGATATGAATGATGAGAAGGAATTTACTCAGATGATCAAGGCAATCAAGGTGAGACACAACAATGTTGTCCCCACAATGGCTTTAGGTGTTCAACAGCTGAAGAAAGACATGGACCCAAAGATCGTCTATGGGGATCTCCATGAGATTCATCAATTCTTGGATCGGTTTTACATGTCAAGAATTGGAATTCGCATGCTTATTGGTTAGTTTTAACTTCACATTTATTTCTTGTAATGATTGAAATGCTTCTTAATTATGTTCATTTATTTCTCAACCTATTTGAAAATTCTGGTGAATCTCAGGACAGCACGTGGAATTACATAATCCAAATCCGCCGCCTGATTGTGTGGGTTACATACATACAAAAATGTCTCCCGTGGAGGTTGCACGAAACGCGAGTGAGGATGCACGTGCTATTTGTTTACGCGAGTATGGCAGTGCACCTGATGTTAACATCTATGGGGATCCTAGTTTTACGTTTCCGTAAGTTTTTTAAGTCATAAATTTTGTATACTTAATAGCTTTTTCTTTGTTGTTCTCTTAGATATGTATAATAAGTTATCTTTTCATATTAGGTATGTCCCAACCCACTTACACCTTATGGTGTTTGAGTTGGTTAAGAACTCATTGCGTGCTGTCCAAGAGCGTTACATGGACTTGGATAAAGTTGCACCTCCTGTTCGGATAATTGTTGCAGAAGGCATTGAGGATGTTACCATAAAAGTATTCTTTTCTTTTTCTCTGTTTAGGTCATCCGTCAATATTATGCTACTGCATATGTTTCCTATAATGTTTTAAGCAGGGTGTCAGTACTGCTTTTTTTTTTTCTTTGGAATTTGTCAAGCATTAGTGTTCTGGTATTTGTTCAATTTTTAAAATGGTGGTACACTGGCTGGTGTCGTAGGTCTCAGATGAGGGAGGGGGCATCCCAAGAAGTGGTCTTCCCAAAATCTTCACTTATCTTTACAGTACTGCAAAAAACCCACTGGATGAGTATCTGGATCTTGGAACAGGTGCTGAAATGGTAACAATGGCTGGATATGGATATGGGCTTCCAATAAGCCGCTTGTATGCTCGGTATTTTGGAGGAGATCTGCAAATTATATCTATGGAAGGATATGGTGAGCTCATTATTTAATTATTGTGCTGTAGCATGTTTAATTTGGATGGTTTTCAAAGCTCTAAAGTAGATGAGCATTTATTACTCGGTTAATCAGCTAGGTTGCATGAAGTGATGAAGCATCCTATGTTTTTGTTTAGACTAGTGGCTAGCATTTCCTAACACTGTCTATAATGTGATGATAATATCTGCTGAAAAAGGTTGCAATATATGTTTCTTATGGAACTTCTTATTAGTGAGTTGAGCAGTAAAGTAGGGATATCATTTTTTTAAGGGGTAAGGATCTATTGAAAATTGAATGGGATTAGGTTATCAGGTGTCTAGTAATTGATGCTCCTGAACTCCATATTTGGAGATTTTTTACCTAAAATATGCTGACTCAGTAATAGGTTTGCAATGTCCATATGCAGGGACTGATGCTTATCTTCATTTGTCGCGTCTGGGAGATTCACAAGAGCCTCTGCCATGAATGTATGCTGCAGCTGCGAATCTGAAGTGCTTTTTTAATTTATTGAAACATGGAAACATTGGATGAATATGACTATTTTAACAAAGGGATGCAGCTGCTTTCAATTTTTATTGTGATAAATTGGCAGTTCTCCTTGTATATGCTTCATATGTTTGTTTTCTCTATTTGGTAAAAAAAATGCCCTTTTTGACTTGCTATAATTTGTTTTCAATATACATTTTCTCTTCTACAATGAAGATGCCCCATTGAGGATACCTAGATGAAATCTGTGGCCTCTCAAGAGGGACTTGCAGATCGAAAATTTAGGAAATAATAGAATAAGCTCATGCTGGCAACAAGCATTGTGAGCACACGACAAATGCTGTGAATGCAGGCTTTTTTCAACTACTTGTGGGTGCATGATAATTACTTTGAGCTTTAACCGTTTACTTGTGAAATACAAGAATACAATGTCAGCAGAACCTATTTATATCTACATCATCTTGAAAGAAATTATGATGAATCTGGAGAGTTAACAAGAAGCTATTTGGGAGTAACCTAGCGAGGCTAGGAGTAGTGAAATCTAAGATTCTGAGGGAGGGTTGAATATGCTGTTGTGATTTTTTTTTCTTCCACTATCACTTGGGGAGAGGGTCAGCTATCCATCCGAAAAAGAAAAGAAAAGGAATGAAAAAAGAAGAAAAGAGAGAGAACGTGGTTAAGGCTGAAAAAAGAGAGAGAAAGGAAAGCTTGGTTCCCACTTGGCACTCATGGAATGCATAAAGGTGCAAGTTCTGAAGGAGCAAGAGCAGGGTGGAGGTCCCCAAGCCCCTTGGCATTTGCCAACTTTTAATCATGGTAGTGGCCAGGTGGAATGGTTACTTCGTCATTTTTTTCTCTTTAGCAAGAAAAACAAAGGGTTCAAATCTGTCTGGTATTAGGAAGAAAGGAGAAAAAAAAGAAAACCCTTTTGAAGTTGATGATAAGATAGGACTACCATCATTCTTTTGACTCCATTAACTGGCGCGAGACCTCTAATTCACAAGCTCTCATGTTCAGTCTACTCAAATATTAATAAGTCATTAATGACTTTCTCCAACTTCTACATGATAATTAATTGGGAGAAGAATCTTTGAACTTATGTTTGGATTTGCAACCACCACAACTACTTCCACAATCCTTTTTCTGTCTCACACTATTAACCATTTGGACTCTGGAATCAGCCCCACAACCTCAACTGCTTGCTCCTCTGCCAAAGGACTTTTTCAGAAACATTATAATCTTCACCAAATAGTAACTTACATCTATTCTTTTAACGAAGCTCCCAGCACATCATTAACATGTTAAACTCTACTTTTCTTCTCCTATATTCATATAAAACAAGCATCTATCAGCGATTATTCCAACCTCCACATGTGCTAAAGGCATCGGTACCTTCTTTTCTTTGCACACTTAAATGACCATTGATCCCTTACGTTCCATTTTAAATTTTCAATCTCCCAAACCTTGCGCTTCCTGTAAAATTGTTGACTCAAATAAGCAGACTTAATAAGTATCCACTGATTTTTTTTCTTTAGAATTCAGATTTTGGGAGGGTGTGGATATGAGATTGATGAACATATTGCCACATGACAAAGTAGAACTCATTATAAAGAGTATTTTTTCATTAGAATGAATCAAAAGCAAAAATCATCTTCCAATACATAAGTTGAAAGCCAGAATACATTTAATATCAGCCTCAATACTGAGATGTTCATCAACTGTGCATTAGAACTCGGGAAAGAAGATTTGAGCCTGTCCAACAGAACCGGTTCAGGTAGGATTGTACTTGTGTCCTTGAGTTTTAAAGGTGTATTGTAAAAACATCATATAGTACTAAGATTATATCCTAATGCTTCTTCTAATAGATGTTCTACATTTTCTGAATTTCTAAATAAATTTTCCAAAAGAAAGCAGCCAAATCACTTAATGGGAAAAAATAAATCCAAGTAAAGCACATGGAATTATGTATTCTATTTATTAACCAAAGCAAGTGCAAGCAGAATCTATTCCAGAATCTTCTTCTAATCGACGGTATATGTTTCATCATGCTAGAAACACAATAAAATTCAACAAATCAGGAAATAAAATGTTAAAACTCTTATAACATAATAGGCATTTTAAAAATAAGCTTTTGACATGATTAATGATTTTTACTACTAAACTAAAGTTATACAATTTTGTTCATATGAAATTGAGGAGAATCTGGAAGCTGCAAGCATAGAAAATGGGCATTGGTTATCTACAAATTATATAAGCTGATATTGAAGAATCACCAATAATCGTTACACGAGCAATGTCCCATTCTGAAATGGTGAAATCGATGTCTATCTCTTACAATTATTTCACAATTATAAACCTTGGAGATGAGCTTAGTGGCATTATGACAATCTTTACAAACTCGCAAGTTCTTGAAGATCCGGATGGTTTCTCCAGGTTTGGTCTTCAACAATCCAAAGGCAATGGCAAGTTTTTCGCTATGGTAGTATGAAGGGTTGTATCTGTCTTCTTCCTCATCAAGATCGGTATCAGGCACATAACCAAAACATCTTATGCGCTCAAGCATCTCATCAACCTTGCCATATATCTGTTTAGCTTCAGGATGACCTCTTCCTCCAGCTATAAATTCACTGACAACACCTCG